CAAATGCAAGAGGAGAAACGACTGAAGCCGATCAAAGATCCGACCTTTAACCAACCGAATGGACACGGAAATCAAGATACACCCCAAAATCTGGCGAAGAACAAAAAGCAGCGAAACCACCGATCGCATCATCGGCACAGGAAGCACGGGCGCAGAGATTCCATAAAAGAAGGAACATTGACACCAAATCCAAAGCGAGGAGGGAGGCGAGAGGTTCCATACCCTGCACTCGTTGGCGTTCACCTCGTTGCTTCCCGCCATCGCGATACCGCACCCGGAAACAGAACGCCAAGAACAAGAGAAGAACCAGCCGAGCCAAAACGAGCCCCGCCGGAAGCCAACAAAAATCTCTCCTTTTTCCTCGTGAACTGAAGTTGACGGATCGAACCGTCAACGACTCGCTCCCGAACGCGCGAACTCGCTGCTTCTGCTCCTCCACGGACCCCCGCCGCGCCGCTCACCTCCTTCCACCGCGCAGCTTCCCGATCCCGCCCAAAGGAACCACCTTTCGAGATCCAAGCACCAAGATGGAGCCAGGAGAGATCCTCGACGGAGGGAGAAACCGATGTGGGTAGGAACGAAGAGACGGGAGGAGGTGAGGGGAGAATGAAGTTATTAAGGGGGAGAAGTTGGACGGGGCACGCGAGCACAGAGAGAGAGAGAGAGAGAGCGAGCGAGTTAAAGAAACGGCAAAGGGGAGCGAGTGAGGGACGCAGGAGACGACAAATTGGGGCGGCCGAAGGGAAACAAATAATAAAGAATCCCCAATAGGCATACCACGTCAGCATTGTATCGTGCCATGTCAGCATGACATCAGTGCGATACCTGCGTCACAAAAACGACAAATAATGACACTATTTGTCGATTAATGCGGTTTTTGGGGTCCAATTTGGTGGCTTCTACATAAACATTATTATTTATTTTATGCATGGCATGTTTAATACCTTTTTTTATTTTTATTTTTATTGTATTTTCAATTCAAATCACAATGGGTCTTTTGTCCACCGCTGGATCTCATAAATAGATCAATCAAACTCACATCAAATCATCAAAAGAGGAGGCTCTCGGCAGAGTGGACCGCCACGTGTACAAAACTCAGTCACTGGGATATATATATATATATATATATATATATATATATATATATATATATATATATATATATAATTTAATCTAATTGAAAAATGGGTTAAATATTGCCATGGCCTCCTTTCATTTATGTGGTCCAATAGTCAAAAAAATGAATTTTTATTGATGAGAGATTGAGCTTAAAATATTTATTTTTTTCTCAATATGAAATTTTTATTTGTAGTGTTGTTATACACATACACATATATCAAGAAATTACATAATGAATATTGCAAATTGTGGAAACAATAGCCTTGGAAAAGAAAAAAGAAATGCTTAAATCATACTTGTGAAATAATAATATACAAAAGTTCAAAATTTTCCCACAAAAGTCCAAATGTTCACATCCATTTTAAAATTCCTTTTAGGGTCAGTGGGAAACCTCTGAAGAAGAGAAGAATATGTTTCATTTTTCCTTTCTTCAATGTAAAACATAATCCTATTCTATAATATATTGACCCTTCTTTTGTTCTTTATAGACTCGATGACGTATACATATATCTATGTCCAATACCATCCAACCTTTGTGAAACTTATGTACAGTGAACATACAACTCAAGACCTTTGTCGGCAAGCTTCTGCAATCATACCGAGAGAGAGAGAGAGAGAGAGGGGAATGGAAGGGGGAGAAGGAGACAAAAGTTTGCTGCGTGAGGACGAAGCGAAGACGCTACACCACGACAAAAAGAAGGCAGCCCTACCACCTTTACTCGACCCCACAAATGGAGACCTCCCCATCCATCGCCATTCCCCAACCTTGTGTTTGTTGTCTTCCTCCTTCTTTAATGGGCATCGTGTTGACGTGCCCAACCAAAATGCCACCGTCGCTCCTTCGTCACCCTTAGCGTTTGTCTTCACATGTAGAAAGGGATGGGAGTGCCTTGCTTTCTTTCGTGGTAGGATCACATTGTCCGAAAGAGGGCGCCAAGTCAAAGTAAACCCGAATACTTCAATTGGATGAACGGGAATGGCTTTGCCAATGTGGTGATTCTTCATAATGGCCATCCCTAAGTGCTCGCTTTGTGGTGACTTTAGGGGCCGTCGCACATTCTTTTTCTTGGGAACGCAACATTTACTACTTGGGTTAGTCGGAATAATCCAGATTGTTTACTTGTCATGGGTTTGGTGGAGAGTAGTTTATGCTCTCACAAGTTGTTCCACATGAACGACAAAGGTAGATGACATTGATGAAGCATAGGATTTGTTCTGTGTTGTTTATTCTAAAGGTTTCTTGCTTTGGTCCAATGACTTCGATTTCTGTTGTCATCTACATCGACTTGACCTGTCATGCATGATCGACTTTGAATCATGCAGTTGATGCATGTGACATGCACTCATTACTACCCATGTTTTGGAGAGAGAGAGAGAGAGAAAGGGGAAGAAGGTTTTCTTCTTTGAAGCTGTGTTATTTCCCATCATGCGTTCACATCCAAAGTGTCATTGGCACAAGCAAAAGATCCCACGCGTAGGGGATGGAGATTCCGGAACCAAAGCGGGGAGGCCTTTTGACCGAGGATGGGATTTTGGCGTAGATTTTGTCGGGGGTCAACTCAAATAATCCACGTCACAAGTCAACGGTACAGACGCTGCTGTTACAACACAACCCTAAGGAGAGGAGAACTGTATCCTCCTTGAAGGAATTAGAAGCCATGCATACATGCAAGTTGGGATCCTTAATCATCTCGTACAAGGATTCGATCCACTTCAATCAACTCAAACGAGGAATCGATCGACTCTCTCCCTCTCTCACCGAAACCTCTTCGGCTTCTCCTACGGACCCCTGTTGAGGTTGATGAAGGGCTTAAGCTTGAATTGGCGATGATATGAATTAAGATCGCGATGAAGAGGAAAGAGAGAGAGAGAGAAAGAACGTCGAGACAAAGGGATGTGATGGTGATGGGATGATGCACACACAGTGCACACATCAGATGATGGATGGATGGATGGGGTGGGAGGACGATCACGGGTTGGACGTGATATGGATGGATGCATCAACAGAGCACATTAATTAAAGGGAGGAGAGGGGGAGGGAGAGAAGGATGCTTCACGTAAGCATTAATGGTGCGCCCCCATGTGCCTGCCTTGTCCTTTGGTTGGACGTGGCTCAACGTGTGCTGCATGCTCTTTTAGACCTTTTCCACTTTGTCTTCTTTCTTCTTCCTCCTCCTCCTTTCTCCTCTGCTCGAGTGTCTGATAGATTGTGATCCAGTAGAACGGTCTGATCAGCTCGCACCAATCATCTGCTACAGTGTGGGAATTCTGATCCTTCATGGAAAAAGTGTGTGTTTAGCTTCTGTACAAGGGAGAGAAGACAAAAGAATCCCAATCGCTTTGGCTACACGTTTGACAAGCCAAGTTGATGCCTTGTGATGCTCGGTTGTCGTTTCCTCACCAGCTTCTTCAACCCAATCTTTGATGGTAATATAAAAAGATGGGGACAAAGAGAATTATACATTTGTTCCTCACCTTATTTTACTTTTCTTCTTATGAAACAGTTGTCCTCTTTAGTGTCATGATCACGCAACCTAATCAATGTTTTGATCACAGCGAGAGAATCTTTAGCCTCTTCGTTTTGTTCATACTTAATGCTCGGTCTAGACCATGATCCACAGGAAAAGGCTGGAAGTACATGGCAGAGTGCTTGGATTATATCAATCAAACAAACAAACAAATAAGAAAAGCCTGTGGCTGACTGACTGCCAAGTCTATCTTTATTAAGCTGGACAAAATATAAGTCAATTTTAGGATAAGTTTGGATCATCTTCGGTGTCATTTATCTATGTTGTCGATTGAAACATGAGAGAAGCAATAGATAGGATGTCTGGAACTAGTGATGATGCTTTCTTTCCTTGTTCTTATTTTGAAGGAGAATTTGAATCCAGAATTGTTTCTGGTGACCAATGAGATATGCCTTTTGAATAATCCGAAAAAGGTGCACCAGAGACACTGTTGGATACTGTACATTCACAGGAGAAGCAGAGGCCGAGTCCTTTTGCCGTGGGGGAAGATGGCATGCATCTTGTTCCTTTTGGCCCTCACTCTTTTCCTTGCTGCTGCTACTGCTATTGCTACTGCTACTGCCCCCCCCCTCCCTCGTCTTCTCCGCTTCTGATTCTTGCGAGTCTTCTCCCACCGCTTTTAATGGAGACAGAGGATGATGGGAAACCTGCGGATCCCCACAGTTGTGTAGTCCATGGCATCTGGCGGCGAGGCTTTCACGGCACTCTGTCAGCACCATAATTGGCCACCGGCCATTATAAATCACCGCAAGACTCTGTGTGTACAAGGAGGAGGAATAAACAATGTGTCGATGCAGGCTGTGCTGTGGCAGTCAGCCTGCCCAAAGTAAACGACGTTCGGTACTGCTTCGAGTCTGCTACAGCTCTCTCTGCACTTCGTGTGTGCGCATTACTTCTTTGTTTCTGAACAATCTGTCGATTTGTAGTCCAAGACGAGTGGGCTCAGCAGCCCATTTCTTCTTCAAGACTAGTGGGTGGGTTATGGACTGGCCTAACCCATGTCTTTAGTCTCCATATAATCCATCGTGATAAGCGCGTCAGATCTTGTCGGTGCCGCTTCTGTGAGCGAAGATTGACGCAGAGATGCACAAAGAAGTCAACCGCTGTGGGTTAGAGGTCAACATCTCATTCCATGAAGCAGTGGTTAAGCTCAGCAGCTCACGGAGCTCGCTTTGTTCACTGATTCAGGTCGCTGATCCTGCGTAGAGGTGGTGGTTAATCTTCGGCTCACCAAGCAAATTTCTCCATGAGACAGTAGAAAATGAATGCCGTACATACTGTGAATTCCTGACAGCTGGTGGAAAAAGGACACCGCGCCAGCAACCCTCCACCGTGAAATTGGCTTAAAGAACAGGAAAAGGAAAAGCATGGTGTAAATAAAGAACGAGAGAAAGGAGCTTTGGTCTTCCTTCTCCGCTTCCTGTTCTCGAGTTCTCAGGGAGCGGAAGAAGGGAAGGGCGGGTGGCTGAGGAGGCAGTGAGAGATGGGCCTCGGGATCTTCCTCCTCTCCTTCTTCTTCCTCGCTGTGCTACTTGATTCAGCCAGATCTGGTGGTAAGCTTCTTTCTTTATGGTTACGTTATGAAGTGTATGGGAAATGGAATCAATCCTTTCATCAAAGCCCCACTAGATCGATAGTAGATTCCCTTCTTCCTGTCTAAATAGAAGTTCATGGAATTGTTCTGCTCTCTATTAGAGGCTCCTCTTCGAGGTAGGGGATGAGACAGATCTATAGATTTACGCAGAAAAGGGGACTTGTTGACTGTGAGTTGGATGTAGCATTTTCATTGCTCTAAATCTGCTTACAGCTTGATCATTATGAAGCTGGTGACCAAATTGGGGATGAACTAGATCTGTAGCATAACACAGAGAGAAGACCTTCGAGCTCATGAGCATCTCAAACAAAGATTTCTTTAGTTATCGATCAAAACTTCTCGAGACAGGAAATCTTCTTATGATTTTGCAGAAGCAAAGATTATGATTTCTGTAAAAGCTTAATGACAATATAATACTCAAAACTATTAGCTTTAATGACAACATATATTTCATTGGTTGCAGTACTTTTTCTGATGGAAGCTTCTTAATACTCGCTTTCTTCGCAGATACAACCGGTCAGCTTCTTCGAGGTATCAACGATTACAGAGTCTCCCTCAACCTTTCATCACTAACAGAGAACGAGAATGCAGATTGCTTGGCTGCACAGCTTGCATCAGCATTCAAAGGCCAAGACTGCAGCAACACCACTGGATCAGATACCGTTCCCGGCACGGAGGAGCAGTTCCCCGACTTCCCTGATTATTTGACCGCATGTCATCTAAACGCGACGGTGACGAGAGACGGGTTCATAATGCCAGCTTGTGTGCCGGACTTGGCGCCTGATCTTGTCTTGGCCAACTACACCAAGTCTCAATACAACCAGAAGCTGAACGACAGCAGCTATGCCGGAATCGGGATTGCTGAGGAAGGCAACTGGGTTGTTGTAGTTTTGACCACAAATACGGCCACCGGAAACTATGCTTCAGCTGCAGATGCAAGCGCTGGTTCGTTCATTTCAGTTGCTGATCACAACTATGTGACGCTGTTGCTGCTGGGTTTCGCCATTTACCTGGTCGGCTAAGTTCTTTTCATGTGTGACAGTGGAAGTGTTCTTTTTTTTTTCTTCCTTGCTTTTTGTGAACCTTTTGAAAAAATTTATATGGCATAAAATATAGTTCACTCAAAAGGATTTAAGGGTTATTATCTTATGATATCATTGTATGATCATAGAAATGATTGAATTCTGATTTATGATTATCAATAAATAGAAAAAAAAAAAATTAATTATAAAATACTATCCTAATTATTTTTTGTGATAGTCTATAAATAAATATGACCTTCTAGGGATTGTGACGTTAAATTATACATACTTATCTAGACAATTTGTTATTATCTTTAAATAGATAGTACCTCTTAGGGACTTAATATGTGATGCTAAGTTATACGTTGAGAGATTATAAATCCTCTCTCATTTTTCCTTAGTCTCTATTTTATCCTTTTATAAAGGATAGAAAAAGAAAAAAATATGAGCCTAGTTCTCATTATATGTCGGTATCATTGTATCTTTCGGATCTAACAATGATGTGCTTACATATCATATTAAAGTTTTTTCGCATAACACAAGTAAGATTATAGTTTTTATACTACAATTGTATCAGTCATATTTTGAAATCAAATATCTTAGATTGTAAAAGTATATCAAGTTTATTTTCTATTTAGATTTATTTATTAATACCATTCACTTACAAAAATGTGATCCGATTATGATTGTATCATGCTTGAATAATTTGTCTATTTGTTGATATGCTTTCTTATCATGTCCATCTTATTTGATCTTTGAATTTATTCCTTTTTGTTTCTTATATACTTGCAACACAGTGGAACCATGACAGAATATATTGTTCGTATTTGTTCAACGGGCTATCATCGACAGATTGCTATTGACAATAGTACTTTGAGGGCGATGACCTTCGTTGGTCACCATTCTAGTCATGGGCAAAGACTATGCAAATGGCAGTCATCGTTGCATTGTTACTAATGTGTGTAGTAGCCTAGGCAACGAAAGTGTTGTGACGACATCATTGTGTGCGACAATTGCCACCATGGGTAATGGCATTGCTATTGCCTATGGTGGTAAGATTTGGTTATAGGTGACACTGCACTTGCAACAATAACGCGATAACGATTTGGTTATAAGCGGCACTGTACATGCAACGATAACATTGGTTGCATGCAATAGCACAGGAAGGCAATAGCCATATTGGGCACTGTCCTTGATCGACGGTGAAGGTGGCTATGATTGTGAATGACAATCTATGAGTGCTACACCCTCACATAGCATCATCGGGGGTTGGTTATGTTGCGAGCTACGTTAAAGGAGTATGTTGTGATGGGCTCACTGGTCGATAGATGGCATTGACGATGGATTGCATTGCATGACTCATGGCTATGATGTGTTGATCGCACATAGCGCTGGTGGTGACCATAGGCAATAGGGTCATTGGTGAAGGCTGGTCAGCACGTGAGTACAATCGCACAGTGGAACATCGCAACAATAAATGGGGTTGTCGATCGACCCTGTGAGAACGATCGCTCACCATAATAAGGAACTCTCTTAATTACTTATCTTACTTAGACTTTATGCTCTCATAGATAGAACCTCCTAAAGATTTAATATATGTCACTAAGTTATATATTGAGATATTATAGAATTTTCCTATCTCTTCTTAGTCCCTATTTCATTTATAATGCTCCTACAAAGGATATGAAAATAATAGGAGACGAGTCTCCTCCTCTTTGTAGATCAACATTATTATAGCTTTCAGATCTGATAGTGATACACTTGTAGATCAAATAAAGATTTTTTAAATAATATCAAAAAGTATATAATCCTAATCTAGATCTATTATTATTTAATTTTAATTTTTATATTAAAATTTTCTCATACAATAGAAACATATTTTTTACATATAACATAAGCATTATTATAATTTTTATGTTGACAATCATCTTCACGCATAAGAAAAAGTTACAAGTCTCTATTGTGACTCATTAGCTGATCTAGCACTTCTTTCCTTTTACCTGAATTACTTGAGTATAGTGGTTGAACTCAGTCTGAAATCTATAATCGAAATGTATTTTCTTGGTGTTACGGCTGGTTGTAGAATGCTGTGTTTTTATTCATGTCGATGCCAAACTTAGTATTATTTTGTTACTATGATTCATGTCTTGATATTAGAATAATAGAAATAATTTATTGGACCAATTAGTCCCACTCTGCAAACAGTATATAGGTGTCATGCTCATGGCACATCGCCCTCTCATCTCCTCTGCAGCCTTGCAAGCTCTGCTCCGATCCCCATGGACTTCTCCTTGCCCTCCTCCTCTGGTGAAGTCGTAATGGCCGCCCTCATGGGCCTCCCCTCCGCCTCCTTTTCGGATGTCGCGCGCTCCTTGTCCTACGACCTCAGCCTCCAACGCCGCCGCCTCGCCTTCCTCCTCGTCTCCCCCTTCCACTTCTCCCTCACCCTCTCCTACCTCCGCTCCCTCACCCTCCCTCAGAAGACTCTCCTCCTCGCCCGCTATCTCCTCTCCTGTCTCCGCAAGCTACTCCCCTCCCTCTCTGGTCCCTCCCACCCCCTCCGCCTGCGTGACCTCGACGCAGCCCTCCTCCTCCTGGCCATGTGCGACGCCTACGACCCAACCGTCGCCCGCCTCTCCAACTGGCACTCAGCCGTCTCTGACAACGTTCTTCGCTCCATGCTGAGCCCCTCGGGGCTCGGAACCGATGCATGGGCCGTCGTCCGCCATTACGTCGACGACGCCGTCAAGTGCCGGCGGTTGACGGAAGCTCTCTCGGATATTGGGAGCGGCTGGCAAAAGGTGGACGGCGAAGCCGGCGCGTGGGTGGCGGCAGTGGTCGCGCTGCCGTCGGTGGAGTGTAGGACGGGAGGGTGGGAGTGCGTGATATGCAAGGAGGAGATGGCGGCGGGGAGGGACGTGTGCGAGCTGCCTTGCAGGCATCGGTTCCACTGGGGGTGCGTCCTGGGGTGGCTGGGGAAGCGGAACACGTGCCCATGCTGCCGGCACGAGCTGCCGACGGAGGACGTGTTCTGTGAGATGGGGAGACTGTGGCGAGCTGCGGCTAAGATGGGCGATCAGTGGACGACATGAGAAGGCTACGTTTGTGGCCGGCGTCGCAGTGCGAACCGGTCTTGGTTTGCAGCGTTTGTATAGTCGTATTGATGCTACGGTGACAGTCGTCTGTCAGTCAATAAAATCCTACACGTGGAACGAAGAGGGATCACAAAGATCTGATCCAATTATGTCTTACGTGGGGCCCACCAGTGGGCCCCGGTTTTCTCTAAGGCCCGTATGTATCTTGTCGAATCAACGCGCGGTAGCAAAATGGGTATTAGAAGATAAGTAGAACAAGTAATAGACGATCAAAAGAAAGCAACCTCGACCGCCCCGTTATCTTCGACTAACGGTCAGATCCGTCAAACCACAACGAACGGACGGATCTGTTTCGTTCCCGGAAACGTGGCCATCCGAGGGGCAGCCAAAGCACTTGCGACGGAGACAAGCCGAAGCACAGCTCGCCTGCGACGTCTCTCCCTCTCTCTCTCTCTCTCTCTCTCGTCCTCCTCCTCCGCCGCCTCGGAATCTTCTTCTCGTTCTGTCCTCGATGGCCGTTCTACATGTTTGAACGAGTCAACTTGTGACCTGAGGCTGAGATCTGCCACTGTAACCTTAGTTTATTTCCATCGGTGCTTCGCTAAGCATTGTGCATGCACTACCATCTGTTTCACGTTGTGCATACAAATCATCAACACTTGAGCTGATGCATGTCAAGATGGCCCAAACCATGTACTGCACTCGCAATAGGTTGCAGGATTAGCGGGTGAGGTTATGAACTGCAGAAATATGTGGGACTTGTTGTTGAATGAATCATGCGATCGTTCTGTCCATAGACACTTCCATGCAGACTTTGCATTCCTCTAAAGAGACATTCATATGTTGATTCAGATATCGCACCATATCAGTATCGTTCTGTCCATAGCCACTTGTATCTGTTCATTGGATGCTAAAATGAAAGCAATTGGAGTAGTTGAATCAAGGGACATGGAGCTCTCCATTAGCAGTCCTTCCGAGCTGCAAACCATGGGTTTACATGAAGAGCTCGAACTATGCCATGAAAGAAGAGAAGAAAACTCTACCAGAGAAGAAAAAGCAGACAAGAGGTGAAAGATCAAAAGAGCTCCTCAACACTTGAATCCACTCAATTCCTCCACTCTGTTTGTCTCTCTCCTTGCTCGTTCGGTTTCAAGGGGATTTTTCTGCAGCCCGATCGGAAACGGCTGTGGTGACCTTATCGATCACGGTGATGGTTTGAGATTAAACTTAACTTAATTAAAGACAATTTTATTGGATCATCTTGAATGAAGAAAAATTTTGACATCTTAAAAACGATATGAATCTTTTGAAAAGAAAAAGGCCTAACATCTCTTACTTAAATGATTTTTGGATGCATTACCTATGTTCATATTTTAGATCATTGAAGAATAAAATTAAATAACAAAGGCTCCAAATATATTTTCATCAGCTATAATATCCGATCTAAAATCTAGATGTTATTTGATCCCAAAGAACACAAAATACATGTGAGTAGAGATGTGGAGTTTTATGAAGATAAAGTGTAGAATTGGAGCACAAAAGGTGCAACATGAAGATAAAGACAAAATGATAAATAAAGAGCTTATTGTTAGATTATGTGATCCTATTTAATTAAGTAAGATATATTATAGATATGATTAGATTCTAATAATGATTATTGATCAATAGAAAAGAAGTAGGATTCCTTAGGAGATAACCTTGATGGGAGGAACTCTTCTAATAACTTATTCTAAACCCTCTGCTCTCGCCTATAAATAAGCAGGACCTCCAGGGCTAATTGGTGATCTTCTTACTCAATGTAGTTGAGAAATTAAGATTTTTTCTCTCAATCTTCCTCTCCCCTAATCTCTTAATCCATCCATCAATTTAGGTGGTCCTATGAAAAGATAGGAAGAGAGGAGAAAGGATCTATGTATCATTAATTAGATCTAAGTATTCAGATATATCTGAACAAATGACATCAAAAGGTACGTATCGTTAATTAGATCTAAGTATTTGATTTCAATCCTGGCATAAAAGGTTATTTTTATATTTAACATAGTATATTTCAGATTTTTATGCTTACACTTATACTTTCATCATCTCCTATATCAAGCTTGTCTTTGGAAGAAAATCTAACCAGAAAAACAAAACAAGGAGCATACAAGAATTATATGGGATGACAAACCTAACTCAATCTTGTTTATCTTTATGCTAATGAAGAAGTTATTTTTCTTGAGGATCTAATCAAAGATAAAAAATGAAATAAAGCAATAGATGAGAAAACCAATACCATAAAGAACAATAAGACATGAGAGAGGCAACTTTACCTAAAGTCATGAATCTATACAGATAAATGGATTTTCAAAGTGAAGAAGAACACATAAAGAGAAATTTAAAAATATAAAGTAAAACTACTAGCTAAAGGATATAAGCAAAAAGTTTATATTGACTATGATAAGGTATATGCTCCTATTGCATGAATAAAAATTATTAGATTATTTATCTCTTTAGCCGCTCAAAACAAATAAAAAATTTATCAATTAGATGTGAAGTCCACATCAATAAATGATTTTATTAAAGAAGTTATATTGAACAACCTATCGGATATATTGAGAAAGGACATGAAGATAAGATTGAAAAAAAATTGTTATAGGTTAAAAGAATTGATGCTTATCTTAAGGCTAATGGTTTCATGCAATATCTTTATGAGTATTTTTTTTTCTTTAAAGAAGAAGATGAAAGCATATTATATATTTGCTTGTACGTAGACAAATAGATCTTCACAAGGAATAATCCTTATATGTTTCAAGACGTCAAGCAAGCTATGATAAAGAAGTTTGATATGACCCACTTGAGGTTGATAACTTATTTTCTTAGTATAGAAGTGAAGCAAAAAAGATATCTTCATTTCACAAGAAGCATATGTAAGACAAGTTCTCAAAAGATTTAACCCAAATGGCACACTGATAGATTGCGGTGTCAAGCTATCAAAGAATGATGAAGACAAAGCAATAGATGCGACTCTTTATAAGAGTTGATTGAAAGTTTGAGATATTTAACATGCACAAGATCAAACATTCTATATGGTGTCGGATTAATAAGTTGATTTATAAAAGATCCTATTTTAATTTATCATAAGGTTACTAAAAGGATTTTTCATTACATCAAAAGTACTCTCTCCCAGGATTTATTCTATTCAAGTTCTAATACTTTTTAATTTCTTGAATATTCTAATAACAATTTAGGAGATAAAAGGAGCACATCTGAATTTGTGTTCTATATGAGAGATATCATAATTACTTGAACAGTCAAAAAGCAATCAATTGTAACACTCTCAACTTGAATATGTTGCGACATCATCATGTGTATGCAATGCTATATGGTTAAGAAGCTTGTCAAAGAAGATACATATCAAACAAGAAGCAACATAAATTTGCATCAACAACAAATTTGCCATTGTACTAGCAAAAAATCTAATGCATCATGAAAGGAGGAAGCACATTGATTTGAAATTTCACTTCATCCGAGAGCCAGAGCATAATGTGAAAACAAATAAAGTTGAACTCATTGACTCAAAACCAAATAGTCAATATGTTCACTAAACCACTTAGAGTTTAATTATTTATCAAGACCAAGATTGATGAAAGAAAAATTAAATTTAAGAGGGGGTATTGAGATTAAACTTAATCTAGTAAAAAAAGGTCTTACTTTGACCATTTTGGATGAGGAAAGATTTTAACATAAGGACATAAATCTTCGAAAAGAAGAAGAATGTCTTGGATATTTGTAAAAAAGATGAACTACTATTAGAAGATATTATAATCTCTCAAAAATTAGTATATCTATTAAGTTTTCAAGATATCTTATGAAAAAAAATAACATTTTGTCAGATCCGTATGTTTTATGAATGTAATCTTATGATAACAGATAAGATTTTTTCGAAATCTCTTACTTTGTCGAGGAAAATTCTTCCTCCTAATATGTATAAATAGGAGAGGGACAGCTTAATACATTTAAGATTCTTTACTTTTTTAATAAATTTTTCAATAAAATTTCTTCAATAAAACTTCCTCAATAATTCTTCTTTATCTTATATTCTTTCCAACGTCTTATCTTAACGAGAGAATATCATTATTATTGAACATTTAAAACTAAACCAAATGAAACTTTTTATCTTCTTCCTTAGTTGTTCTTCTTTCATAACTCCATCCATTTTAAACACCATCCATTGTTCTTGTTCTTTCATAACTTTTATCTTCTTCCTTAATTGTTCTTCTCCCGCTCAACTCCATCCGATCTAACGATTTCCATGGACAGGCATGTCCATGGCTTCCCACTCTTTCTCCTTGTTCGCCATGTTCTTGCCCCATAGATTCGAGTAGAGGCCAACGATAATAAGAACTGATCCAACTACTCAGCACCCACAAGAAAATATGGTGGACAACTGGACGTGGTTTATGAATGTGGCAAGCTTACCCTCCCAAGTAGATCTTCTCAGCAAGGATGAAGAAGCCCCATTATGGCCAACTATAATCATCGTCAGAGGGCTGAAGGCAGAGGCAAAGACGGGCCCTTTGTCCTGTATCACCCGACTTTGAACATAGTAGGCAGTGCAGCAAATGCCCCGTGAGATCTTGCAAGTATAGGAGAGAGAGGAGGAGGAGGAGGAGAGAGGGAGACTGATTGCATAGGCAGCAGCAACGAGGTCCATATCCAACCCTATGTGCCACACAGAAACATTGTGCTCCATGACAAAGGTGACAACAATGGCTTGCAGAGTGCCCACAAAGCATATCAATGAGGTGAGTGAGAGGGGAGCATCATATCTTCTCAAGGCTGCAGCTTGTTGACGCAGGACGAATTGCCACAAAGAACAACTTTATGAGGCACTGCAACTGTTACACATCAAACGAGGATTACCTGGAGGATGAAGAGAGAAGTCCAAGCCAGGGTTGCAATGACAAGGAAGATGCAGCCCTTGAACCAGTCCTTGTCGGTCGACGCTGCAGCAACAGGCGGTACGTTGGCTTGGTGGGGACGGTCATGCATATGCTTCGTCCACACCATCTCCATAAGAGGCCCCTTGTACAGGGTCATCAACATAGCCCCGGCCACAGTCACCAGCGTCCCGACCACCTTGGCTTGGAATCTCACCTTCTTCAGATCAACCTTCTCCATCCTGTCATTGGACGACCGCATTAGATTAGCAGCACTTGCACTTGTAATGGAGCCATGAGAGCTGCGATCGAACTTGTCTACCTGCATAGGACGGCCAGCACGAAGGTCATGGCTGGCGACGTGAACTTCAACCCGGCGTAGTAGAAATTCTGGTCTATGACCGGCCTAAACCATGTCAAACATGGCGTCAAGTCTTGCAGAAACTATTAGCTGACAACTATGCCATCAAGCTAAGGTACAACTATCTGCATGAAACTATTAGCCCTAGCACAAATTTCTGCATGATGATGGCGAAGGTCATCCTCGGCCACACGCCCCTGTTGTTATTAGGAGCAAGCACGATGAGTGCAAGAGCTCACAAGTCTGTATCGGAAGTCTGTGCTCCTTTACCTCTCGAGGATGAGGGCGAAGGAGGCTATGGACAAGGTGGCGAAGGCATGTCGATAGACGACCAGCACGTAGTGGCTCATCCCGTCGTCGAGGGAGACCTTGGTGATGATGTTCATGTCGGCGTAGCCGAATTGGAGCAAGATCATGGCGACGTACGGCTTGCAGACCTGGAAGAACTTGCTGCAGCTCCCTTGCCTCCTCATCGCAGCAGGAGAGTGTGTCTCTGGATTCTGCACCACTGAGGACTGTATGTGGCAACTTGGAGCCGGCATTTATAAGCAGCACTGGCCAGTGAGGTCATTACAGTGGCAGAAAGAGGAGCATGGTTGGGTCTTGGGCACTACTTCAGTGGCGGGTGATGGCAGATGCACCCATACGATGTGGGGGATGCCGGTGCGTGCTGTTGACGATGTCTTCCCTATCCTAATGGAGGCATGCTTGGCCGTGGGCAGAAGCAGGGGATTCTTTGCATTCCTGCTTGCATTAAGATGGAGGTCTTGGAATTCCACTTGCATAACAAACGGGTCTCGGGTCTGATATGGCCGTGGATCAAAGCGAGACCCGACATCATTCCGTTAGGCCGAGTTCGGGCTCCGAAACCGTTGTTTTGGCTCGAGTGGAAGTAACGCCACCTCGGCCAGCCGTTCGTTTCGTCGCCTCGCTCCGTCGTCGTCTCCAGCGCCGCCCTCCTCTGCGCCTCTTCTTTCGGTTGGTTCCCGAGGAAGTATCAGCGGAGTCCTCCCTCGGCGATCATGGCCGCGGAGGCGGCGGAAGAGAAACGTCAACCAAGGACGAGGCCCAGATCCAGGCTCATCGTCCGCCTCGCCGGGTTCCTCGTCGCCCACAGCGTTCTCGTCAGGTACTCTCTTCGTCCTTCTCACTCTCCCTCTCTCTCTCTTACATTCTTTTTGGTTGATGCTATTGGAGTTCTGACCGATCCAAATCGTTGTGTTGAAACCAAGCGTGGTGTGTTGCATAGCGGGGTCGATCGCTTTCCTCCTCCTCCCCTTACTGGCCAAGAACACTTACGTCTCCGAGAACGCGCTGATGCCAGGTTGGTACCTTCTCCGACCTTAAAATTGCCCTGCCTCCCTAATCAATTCACGGTTCTTTCCCTGCGTTGGATCTTTATGCGTCGAATGCCTACTTAATTGTCTCCAATTGGTTGTTCTTTGATAGTCTCATTATGATTTGTAGATCCTCTGAATGTGTGTCAAATTCTTAGGTCATAGAACTCTAGGGAAAACGAAGGGAATGTTGCTCAGGCTAAAACGGACATATGATGATGGGAGAGCCATCGTGTCTTGTAAAATTCAATTTCGTAGAAAAGGAAAATGAAAAAACGATAACAACTCAATGACCAAACCCAACCTACATTGATCGAAATGATCATATTTTTTTACCCTGTTATATTCGTTGAAATAATGATTTGTATGCTTTAGCATGTCTTTTATGTAGAATCATACATCTAGAGATGGAACCAAGTCTTGATGCATTTCCCTTTAAAATAAGCTAGTAAAAATTCTGAACTGAGCATGTCGTTCATTCTTAATGAATGGTTAACTGTAATATCTTCTCTATGAGCATTTATTGCTCAAGTTTATAACTGATTAATTAGCAATGAATGTACTTGACCAATAAAAGGATCTGGTAACAGGTTCTGCCAATCCAATGTTTTCTTCTCAGGATGTACTCGAAGCAAACAGATTTGACGAGGAAATGATTGATAAAGAAAACACAAAAGCTACAGGAATGTATGTCCGTTTACTTCTGTGTATATAGTTTTTTTATAAACTTGATTTTTTCATGGATAACTTTGGTTTTTCCTGGTCGTTCTCTGGAAGTTTAATGCCTTATTATAAATGAGATGTTGAAACATGTGGCACCAGATCCATAGTGTGCTTTCTTAGGTTGGTACTGATTCACTTGTTTTCAGTTGCCATGTGCATGTTTTTTCATCGACACTGACTTGCGATAATCAATACTATTTTGCAATGTGTATTTTTTCACACGGGTTTTATGGCATGTGATAAAATTACTATATATGTTCTGTTAACATTTGGTCAAGCTTAATTTTTTGTTTTCCGAAACATGCATGACACCTACATGCATGACTGCTATCTGTTGTTGATTCACATGATTTTTATAGAAAATCATGTGAATTGACAAACTGGATAGCCAGTTAATAAGGTGTCGACATATCATGTTTATGGACAAGATGATGTATGTTTCTGGCTAGGAGACTGGGTGTGGTCTAGAAGATGGTCTGGCTAGGAGATTGGGGATGGTTTAGAAGATGGTCTAGCTAGGGGATTGGGTATGATCTAGTAGTTGGTATTACAAATGATGACTGTTCTATTCACACATGCACAATGGTGATTAGACAGTTCCAATCCTTGAGGAGGTTCTTTGTTTTGTTTTAAGGGATGGTAACTAAGAGACTTACCTTGTATGACATGGACACAAGTAATAAGAAGGGTAGTTTATAATATGAAGAAAATCTGAGTGATTAGATAGAGGGTGTTGCTTGTTATACCTCATTTATTTTACCGTTGCCTTTTCCACAGGTTATCAGACATTGTTTTGGAATCAGTCAATAAAATTCACTTGTGTTTATTGAAGATAATCTCATAACATCTTCCATTAAACTAGGAATTTAAGAAGTATTAGATCTATGAGGCACTTGATGTGTTTCTTTTTTTTATTTTTCTGTTCTTTGAAATGAAAACGCATGCAATTTGTGCAACATTTTTCATAGAGGTTCACTTGAAGAGCATATTAAAGGATTAATCATTTGAAAACTATAGAATATGAAGTGGGAAACTCATGGAAGAGTCCTTCACAATAGCTTGATGTTTACATAGTTTGAAGCTTAAAACAAATTGCTTGGTGCTTAAAATGCTTTTCTCAATGCTTGATAACAAGCTTGTTAGCACACTAACAATAGTGCCAGCAACTTAGAGGCACATCACACAAGTGCATGTTCTGTTATATCTGTTTGCTTATTGCAAGTTTTGGTTATTTGTTTTTTTTTCCAATAATAATTGCACTTTTCTTTGGTTATTATTAATCTTACACTGCCCAAAAATTTCAGAGAAATAGCAAAATTGATAGGTCAGCAGATGGTGGATGTGGGTGCTGAATTGTATTACCACAAATTCCAACCTCATGCCAATCAGTTCCATCCTCTTCATTTTTTCTCTTCCATCACTAATACTTTGGAGATGCAAGATAACTCTAGCTGCACATCATTTGGTCTCAATTCTGTTGGTATTATACGAGCGCCTCGTGGTGATGGGAATGTTGGTAACTCCTTACAATGCAAAGAATCTCAGACAGGATGAAGCCTTATCACTAGGGCTTGCCTTCTCAATTTTCTCACTTCTTAGCAGAGTTACATGGCTTGCAAAGGATATAGTTTGGTTAGCTGCAGATTCCAGATATGGAGAGTATATAGCAGTTGATACTTGGCTAAAAGACTACCATAATCCTTCTTTCCTTTAGTGATTCAGGGAAGATAGTTGCTGGTATATGTTTTGAAGAAAATATTCACCATTTTATGGATCAATTAAAGGTTAATGGACCAAAGTGTAATGTTTTTAAGCGTGCTGGAACTATGGCTGCTGCTCTTGTATTTAAGATCGTGGACAAGGAGGAAGAAAGAGATTGTGTTACTATACATGCAGAGGCATCTAATGGCCAGATGCCTAATCTTGATCTTATTAGTATTGTTCGTTATTTGGCAGTTCACAGACAAGGTCTGCATGTAAAGATTGAAACCATGCAATCATTACTTAAATCTGCATTGCTCAAGTTTATTGGTGAAATGCTGCAATGGTTTGGTAAACTGGCCAAACAATTTAATCCAAAATGGAAATTTGATATTACAGCTGCCAAATATGTTCAAGGCACTGCTACTCTTGCAAGCTCAATTTATTATCAGGTTGAAATCATAGACCTTGAGTTTGCTGATTTTTGGTTTGCTTGCCAAGCTTAGTGAGTTGCTTTTCATTTTTGCAGGCCATTGGTGTGCCAACTGGGTCCCATGGGGCTTTCCGTGATTACCAAGTGGATGCAGTTACTCTTGAGCTCTCCCCCAGATTCCCTCTTAATAATGACAACAGTCGATATGCATTTCTTCTTAGGAGTGGCAGGTTAGTTTCTCGTAGGCATCTTTATAAATCATTTGCACATGTCGCTTTGGGCATTTGATGCCTTGGGATTATTATGTGATTCAAGACTTTTCTTGTTTGGTCCTCTTTGGTTGTCCAAATTATTTTGTGCTTTTACTGCTAGCTCTTAATTAGTCACCTCTTTCATTGTCTGGCTTAATTTATGATTTTGATGGTAGCTCTTAAGGATGTCTATTCTGATCACTGATACACTATAGTGTTTGGCATTTTATATTATGCATTTTCATGTTCTGAAGTAATAATATCAATATCCCATCATATGTTTTTTTATTCAAGGTTGTTCAAAAGAAACAGGAACCGAAAGAAAACCAATTGGTAGGAGGCTATTAACTACTAAATTGTTTTATAGAGTAAAAATTTCAGTTACATGGCTTACTCCAATTTTAGTAGCTTCTAACTTTTGCCTAATCTTACAATGCGGAATGGTCATTGATATATTCGATAAAAAAATAGTTTCTTTTTGAAAGATGACATACTTAACTTTTTGCATTAGAGCATTGGTGGTACACTTAATGAAGCAGTCATCCGCTCAGTAAATAACCTTCTCGAGAAGTTTCATAAGTCATTTTTCCTCTATCTCTTAACAGCTCCTCATAAGTTTGTGTCTGTCGGAGTTTACATGATTCCATTTGCACTGCTAATAGCTCCTCTTCCAATAGTCGCTGCTGCTCTCTTTTCTGGTAGTGATAAATTAGGACTTTCAGCAGATGAAATGAACCCAGAACCTGGATGTGCCAGTCACACAGAAATCAGCTCTGGATCATGGAAATGGCTTCAAGCTGCAAAAGTGGTATTCATGATTCACTTGTGGGGGATCATCGTGTCATTGCTGCCGAGCATTCTTTCCCAACCCCCCCTTATAATCCCAACAAATCTCATGTTAGTTTGGGCTGCAATAGCCATCGGAACCCTGCTGATCTGCTACCTGGTTTTGGGCACTTGTTCCACCCATTGTGGATGGGAACTTCTGAAATCTGTGATGATTGCTGCTGCTTCAATGGGTCTGAGCTTAATGTCAGTCATCAATTTCTCAACTGCACAGACTGGGGCCATGCTGATTGTTCCAATGTGTTTGTTAGTTCAACCTCTGAGGAAGCAGGTGGAGGCAAGTGTTTGTCTCAGGTCGGCACTACTGGTGATCTGCAATTTAGCTCTGGCTGTGGTTGGGTTTCCAACAGTTGCATTACTGACATCTAGAGGTTCGTTTGAGGATTTTGGAAAGACAAGTATCGGTACCTTCTGGGAATTGTCACAGCTCTTATGGTCATGGAACAGCGCCACTTACCTGTACCTACTATGGATTCATCTACCTTGTTGGGTTCTTTGCTTGCATATTTTGCTCTATCCATGTATTGGGAGGTCATCCAAACCATGAACATTTTTTTGAAGCCGTTGATATTGTCATATTATGGGATCACTCAGTTGCAGAGCAAATACTGGAGAATTCTTGTTATAGAAAGCCACTCAAGCTCATTGGAAAAATGCATGGAGTTTTAGCAAAAGCTATTCATCTTGTGCCACTGAAGAATTGTACGAAAAAGATTTCCCTTTCAAGATGACTCCAGAGAGAAAAAGAGGTTCTAATTGTTCTGACAGAGCATTATTTTGATTCGTGATTTGACACTAACTGTTTAGAACTTTAGATTTTGATATTTGCTGATCCATTGCTCGCCCTTTCAACATGTTGAATGCCTTGGGAGGAGTTGAACATGACCATATAGTTAATTTTATTTCTGCAAAGCATGTCCACAAGTTTGTCATTTGGATACAAAGCATGATAAAAAAAGAATTTCGATATATTCTGGAGATTCTGTGTCACTAATACTATCTTGAAACATGTTGAATGATGCAGAATAATATTGGAGAAACACTACATGCAAGTAAAAAGGTCAAATAATTCAATAAAAAAATTGATAATTCAGAACATAATGGGACAGCACCAAAGCAATTTCCAGTTGCTTGTTGAATTCCAAGATCATGTGTCTCACATGCTGGCCTTTGCAATGAAAATTAATGCTGCCTTGCTTTAGTATTCTTCAATCTTTAATGAATGAAGAAATGCCTGTCAGTTGCAAGGATCTTTGGCTACTGCACTCATGTTGACCACAGAGATTCTGAGTCCTGCCAATCCAACCCACACATAGGACCACAATTAATGCTCCATATTTCTAGTACCTTTAAATTTTGAGGTGTCAGAAGAAGCATGTCCATTTAATCTGTCTCTTACACACTCCATCTTTTTAGTTCATAAAAGCATGACGGCATGATGATAGGATAATTGTCATTGCATAACATAATCTAGACTTTAATCAGGATGAGAATATAGTTCACATGGTTATGCCAAATAATTGAGTACTATTCAAGGAGCTCCTTGTTCATGAGCTAACATGGATCGCGGACCCTAGTGTACTGCCATGTCCAAAGGTTTCACTGGCAGCATGTGACCTGTGCTGTCACTGCCGATATAAGAACACATAATGAATGCCCAAACAAGCAATCTAATGATCCATGTTCCAGTTATTGGGAAAAATTCATCGTATGTTTACCATGTTATTTCTCTTTCGGAGTAGCAAGACATCTTCCTACTGATCATGGTATATTGACAGCTTTGCTATGTTTGATATGATGATGATAATGATGCTTAATTAGACTAAAAAGATCAATTTTGTTATGCTAGTTGAGAATGCTATCTTTGTATTCTTGCTTGGGTATTTGGTTGGTGTTGGTTCTTAAATATTTTTTTATCATAGTATCAGTGCAGTGCCAAGTGACACTGCCATTGTGGTGCTGGTAACTAAGTGCCAAATAGAAATAAGTTTGAATTTCCTGTAAAGTAATTAACTAGCAAAATTGCCAAATGACTGTAATAAAATTAAGCTGGGAAATCTCTCATCCCTCATCACTGACATGGTTTGCAGAATGAAGACTGTCAGTTATTTTTATAGATAAAGGCTTTCCAAATGGAATGGAACCATGACATATGTGCTGGCATTTGTGTTGACATTATATGGGTTTCAGATATCTGCTGGTCTTCAGATTTGACTCACAGTGGATGAACTTCTGCAAACAAAGCAATAAAGATACTGCCCTGCAAAATATGATGATTTATTGTCTTTCATATGACCAAGTAGTCAAGTTGGCAGATGCAGATAGAAGTCAAAGCCAGCAAAATCCATTAAAGATGTTGAAGTTTTGTTTTAAATGTTCATCAAGATGCATGGAATTCAGGGAACACATGATAGGTATACCTCAAAGAGGAGACAGTAACCACATCATGCAACTAGTTTAATCCAGCAGTCAAAGCATGTGGAAACATTTGGAGAAAATGGCAAAGTCTGAGCTAGATCAAATGCATCTTGAAAGAATTACTATTTTGTTTGTGTGGAAGATGCAAGAAGTCAAAGTGAAAGGGATGCTCTGTCTACCTACCACTCACTGATTCTGTAGCTCAAAAATAATCTCCATTTGGCTCTTCATAGAGAGATTGCAAGATACAACCATCACATACCAATGTCATCAAAATCTAAAATTTCAGATACAGATTGAAGGCACATTACAATTTGGACCATCCAAAAAATGAGTGAAAGCACCAAACAAAGTGGTCTTTTACTTTTTTTAATGTTTCTAAGAGACTTTCATAGTCAATTCTGTCAGGAGGGACTATTAAATAGTAGCCAAGCTCGAATCCCTAGTTGCACTTGGTCAAACCAGTTCTTGTTACCATTGGAAAAACTTTATTGCTGCATCTACTACTGCGATCTGCATTCATGTGGACTTGTCACATGGAACTGTCATGGCAAGGATAAAGAAACCAGTCTCAACAGTGTATGATTGCCATGAAGTCATGAATATGCTTGAATTCTAAACTCCTCGAGGATCTGAGTGTGATCCAACAGCTACCTCCCCCTCAGTTTTTCTTCATCCACTTGACACCTCAACCATAGTTGGATTCTTCAGTGTCAGGAGCTGATGAATAATAAACTGCAGTAGTAATCCAGAGGTGGGGGTGAAGAGAAACTACTGAGACAGAGGCTCGGGTGGAAAGCCGATCACATGGCTGTCATGTCTTCTCTCATGTGACACTTCTGAGAAATTCAGTGTCAGTGCCAGTGCCAGCTTCTTGTCTTCTTCCTTGTGCTTCACACATCAACATCCAGTGGCAGCAAAACATATCACAGCTGGATAAAACAAATTTTTTCATGGAGACCAAATGTCCTGTCACTCCTTTTTATAGCCTAAGGAGTCTTTCCAAGTAATGGTTTGAAGGTAAAGTTGAAAAGAGATGTTCAGCCTTTCACACACTTTGAATTTCATATATTCTTTTAAACTTAAGATGAAATTCTATATGAAAACAAATACATCTGTCACATTTAATGATTTGATGTGAACTTCCTCAACTTAGTAATACTTAGCCTGTAGCAAGTTATGAGTAGTATATAACAAGTTGAAGGATTGCAACTGACAAAATCAAAATACACTTTTACTACATGAATGATGATTAATAACATCTCCTAAACCTGGTTGAGCCACTCGGACTTGAAATAAATGCTTCCTTTTATTTCAAAGGTTTTGTACTACCTACACATTTTATAGTATAATTTCATATATATATATATATATATATATATATATATATATATATATATATATATATATATATATATATAATATTTCATGTGATAGAGACAAATTTGATATCCTCTAGCTCCCTTCGAACTAAATGACAACAAACGTATGGGAATCAGTAACCATCCTTAATAGCAGGCCCGAATCTCTTCATCTCCTAGTTGACATATCGAATCATATATCTATGGCTAACAATACTCTACATTGATGATTGACAGTAAATCACCCATATTAACTCCTCCGCTACATAGGACACACCCTCATTAATATGTCTATCACCTCGACTAACACAAGTCCAGAGTGTAGAGCACCCAAGTATAAGAGTTACACCTTGACTCTTTACTCTCTTATTTTTATGTAGTTTATATTATTATTATTTTTTGTCGGTCGAGTCGAAAAACCCCTCAACATTGATCTTATAATTATTAGCGACCAAGAGACAACTCTATAACTTGAAGATGACACAATAATCAAGAGAGTATCTCGCGATCGAACATATCCCAATTCCTCTATTTGGCCTTACAACTCTAAAGTTAAATCATATATCGTCTCACTTATAGACTTTCAATGCTAGTTCATCACATCAACACTCCGAAAGAGACAAGAAACTAACACCCTTGACAGTGAACCAATTATGCCGATTGGAGTCGACTCACCAGCCGATGGTATTCAATTTCTTATGGTAAGTTTTCATAATCGATAAATTTGAACAAAATTGATCAATAGAGGGGGTGTAACTTGGCCCTTGACGCTACAATACATCTGAGCCATCCAATTTCGAATCCAACGGCTGGAAGAAAAAGGTCAAGCTGAGGCGCACCGCCACGAGACAACGTTTGCGGTGTAACTGCCACGTAATTACGGACTTAACCCCGAAACAAATGGAGGACAGAATGGCCATTAACTGAAATCCTTCGAAAGGGCATTATCGTCATCTAACGTTTTCTATCATTTTCAAAACTCAAAGCACCGGTTCCCGCAAGCCAGACCCGCGTCCGACAGCCGTCCGATCTGCACATCGGACGGCATCCGAGAGATCGTCAGGAGAAAAAGGAGGGAAAGAGCTTTGGCCGTCCGATCCTTTTGGGTCACCTATATGAACCCCTTGCAAGGCTTCGCCTCGCCTCGAGCCCTTCAAAACCCCGTTCTTACACTCTCGAAGCCACCCCGATCCCCTTGTTCTCGCCGGTAAGCCCTCCATTCCGCGATCCATCCATCCTTCCACTCGCGGCATATTGCTCCAAGATCTTTGCGGTATGGAGTTCTTTTGCTTTTTCCCGACGGTTCTTGCAATTCTTCGTGGCGAATGGTTCGTTCCGATCGGGGAAACATAGTCTTTGGGTTTTTGCACGAGATTTCGAACCAATTTGTTTTGATCCGTGTATAATTCTTGAATATGAGTGGGTTTTTGGTTTTACCCACATTTCTTTGAGAACAATCTTTGAAATTTCAATTTAATGGGTTTGAGTTCATGTGAATTGCTATGGCATGCTTTATATGGATGAATGTTGTACTGTTGATCTGGTTGATTTGATCTTTGGGATGATACGGATCTGCATTTTGTTCTGTGTTTTGGCTTGTACTGGGGAGTTTTCCCAGAACAGTTCTTGATTTCACCATCGTGGTGAGATCCCAGAGCCAATGCTTAGGAATGCGAGGATTTCTATTTTCTTACATGATTCTTTGCATTTGGGTGAATATGCTTGGATCTGTTGTCTTACGCTTCAATTGAATATCAGGGTTTGAATTCTCTGAGGGTTTTGGAGAACCTTCGGAAACCGATTCCGTTGTCAGTCCTAATCTTGCTTCGTTTTCTTTGATTTAGACAACAATGAGAGAAATCCTCCACGTCCAGGGTGGTCAGTGCGGTAATCAGATCGGGTCTAAGTTCTGGGAAGTGGTGTGTGATGAGCATGGGATCGATCCCACCGGGAGGTACACTGGGACGTCAGATCTCCAGCTGGAGCGTGTCAACGTGTACTACAATGAGGCTTCCTGTGGGAGGTACGTCCCCAGGGCCGTGCTGATGGATCTGGAGCCTGGTACCATGGACAGCGTACGAACTGGGACCTATGGCCAGATCTTCCGCCCTGATAACTTTGTCTTCGGTCAGTCTGGTGCTGGAAACAACTGGGCTAAGGGTCACTACACCGAAGGAGCTGAGCTCATTGACTCGGTTCTCGATGTGGTGAGGAAGGAGGCTGAGAACTGTGACTGCCTTCAGGGTATAATTGCCTTCTCTCTTATTTATGCGTAGTTTTAGTTCATCTGCATTTTGATATCTTTTTGATTTGATTTGTTATCTCATGAAATCAAAGCAATACTCATTGATACTTCAGAGTGAACTCAACCCTTTCTTATCGCCTAAACTTCAATTTCTTTGTAGAAATGCACTTAATCTTAAGAAATTTCTCTAATCTTTTGGAATTGTTCACTGGCATTTTTATTCTTTTGTTTGCTATTTCAGAAGTTGGTGGAATGTGTTGTTTTCTTTACTGTTTAGATATCATGAGCTTGTTTATTACACATATTTAACACTTAAAATGCACTTTCACTCATAGTAGATGTGTTTTTCTTTTCAGGATTCCAAGTATGCCACTCTCTTGGTGGAGGAACTGGTTCTGGAATGGGAACTCTGTTGATATCAAAGATCAGGGAGGAGTATCCTGATCGGATGATGCTCACCTTCTCTGTTTTCCCGTCACCCAAGGTTTCAGACACCGTTGTTGAGCCCTACAATGCAACCCTTTCCGTCCACCAGTTAGTCGAGAATGCAGACGAATGCATGGTACTGGATAATGAGGCACTTTATGATATATGCTTCCGCACTCTCAAGTTAACCACTCCCAGCTGTAAGTCACACCATTTAATGTTTTCTTATCCTTGTTCAAACTTGTGGTTAAACTATGAAATATGGTTTTTATTTCAGTTTAGCAACAAAAAGAGGAGTTGCTTTTGTGCCAGAGTCGTTTTCTTGATAATGATAGCACGTTTAATAGTTATGTTGTCATGAAGATGATACAACAGCATTTATGCGGAGGAAGGCCACAATGGCACTTGATGAGAAACAAAACCCTTTTTTTTTTTTTTTCACCCCTCTATAAGTAAACATCACATTTCTGTGATGTTGAAAAGATATAGTTTCATGCTTTACAACTTAAGCACTCTTCGAAATTGTGGTTTATAAAATATGTTACAACGGCACTGCTTTTTTCCTCCATGTTCATCTATTGTCAGGACATGTTACACCAGTAGGTTTAGCAGTTAATGAGCCAATTTACAAAAAGTACATGGCAGCACTGTTGAACTGGTGTAAACTGAATGAAAACAACCAACCTGAATTGTTTGGTTTGGTCGTGTTATTTCCTGTAGTGTCTTTGACTTGTTATGCTTTTTATTTGCATTCATTGTTTGTATAATATTTGTGTTTATTGTTGGCAAAACTGGTACTTGGAATCTTATATCTTGGTTGCTCTTATCAGTTGGAGACTTGAATCACTTGATATCTGCAACCATGAGCGGTGTCACATGCTGCCTCCGGTTCCCTGGGCAACTCAATTCTGACCTCCGAAAGCTGGCTGTGAATCTGATCCCCTTCCCTCGTCTCCACTTCTTTATGGTTGGTTTTGCACCCTTGACCTCACGGGGATCACAACAGTACCGTGCCCTGACTGTCCCCGAGCTGACCCAACAGATGTGGGATGCTAAGAACATGATGTGTGCTGCTGATCCTCGCCATGGTCGCTATCTCACAGCCTCTGCTATGTTCAGAGGCAAAATGAGTACTAAAGAAGTTGATGAGCAGATGATCAATGTCCAGAACAAGAACTCATCCTACTTTGTGGAGTGGATTCCCAACAATGTGAAGTCCAGTGTGTGTGACATACCACCTAGGGGTCTCTCTATGGCATCCACCTTCATTGGGAACTCGACATCGATTCAGGAAATGTTTAGGAGGGTGAGTGAGCAGTTCACTGCCATGTTTAGGAGAAAGGCTTTCTTGCACTGGTACACCGGGGAGGGTATGGATGAGATGGAGTTCACTGAAGCTGAGAGCAACATGAACGACCTCGTATCAGAGTACCAGCAGTATCAGGATGCCACTGCCGACGAAGAGGGTGATTACGAGGACGAGGAGGAGGAAATACCCCAAGAGATGTGATATGTAGACCGAACAAGTTGCTGCATGTAGCGATTATCTTGTGGTATTGCTTTTGATATTACGTGCCAGTAGTAGCTATGCATTTCTCTGGTACTGTAGCAGCTAATGTACCTGAATCCGTTGCTATGATGACATATTGCTTAATATGCATGTGTATGTTAATGAATCAGATGATCGTTCAAGTATGTGGTGTAAGATAATTATCTGCTATTGCTGTCAGGGCGATGCCAGTATTTGATGCCGATGAGTGCTGGTGCTCGATTCGAAAGGGTGTGCTCGAGTATTTTCTGTCCAGTATTTGATGTCTTAATGCCAGTGTGGAATGTTTGGCCTCCATTAAGATTTTGGATGCAATGATCAGCTCTTACAGAACCTGGAGAAATCTCCATTAACGCAATGGCTTTATAAAAACAATCTTACATGGAAGTCTGAATTATTTTTTTAGAAATTACAAAGAAGGGTAATGGGTAGTTGGTGAAGTCAGAATCTCCAGAATCTTATGATAAACCATTAAAATGGAGTCTATTAAATTTGCGAAAAGGTCATATTGACCAGATTTGGTTACAATCCATGTACCAAAATGTCTCAAGAGAACAGGAAATCTTCCTTAAATTTCTGTAACTGGAGCTTCTCAGTCTCCCCTTGGTGGAAGTGTATAATTGAGCTGTTTAGAGTACAGCCAATAAATATGATGTGCAGATTGCCTTTACGAAAGAAAAGAAATGGAAGGTTTGTGGCAGCCAAAAGTTGTATTATATGAATTGAGCTGTTTAGAGTACAGCCAACAACTCCATTACTTGTATCGTCGGCTGCATGCATCATATGAATAGCAAATGGATCACTGCATTTACAAGACAAATTGAGCCAATCAACTGGGCTGCACTCCGGAAGGACTTCCTCCGGTAGTGGATCGATCCGGACGAGCTTGCCATGCCAGCGATGACTGTGCCAGAGACAAGAACACAGTCGAGGTGGTCCTCGAATGGAGAACGACCCCAAAGATCGAATTTTGACCGCGGACGGAGAACTCAGACAGGTATCGGTCCTTCTTTATGCCGATCAAATCAGTTACAATCGACGTTACCTTGCGCCGTCAAATCTTCATCTCGGCTTTAACGAAGAAAAATTGTTTCTTTCCAAGGAGGAGCACAAAAAGAAGGGATTTTTTTTCCCTCGACGGAGGTTTCTTCAGTTAATTGCACGAAAAAGAATATAAATTTCTTGGCAAGGAGAGGAGGGGAAGAACGTCTTCGACACCTCTCGCCCCATCTCTCACCGATCAAAATGGATCACTTTTCTTTGTGATGTCCCCCTTTTGGACCAGCCCAAATCCTCCCCAGACTGGGGAAAGAACGGAATCGAAAATCCAAGCCGCAAAGCTGCAAAATTTGTCTTCCCTCTTTCCAACATCGAAGAAGAAAAAAAAGCATCGCGGCGCATCGACCGCGACGCTCGATCTTTTATCTAAATATGACATTTTTCAGATTAGTCCCTGTTCCATTTTACCTTTTCATCCACTGTATTAATTAATCCCTTAAGTGAAATTTCGATGTGTCTTTTGGACTATAATGAATAATATTAAGAGTGTAGTAATTTGTATTCGGAAACAGCCTTTTTTCACATTTGCATATTAATCCTCTACAAATTATATTTGCTCATTAAACCCTGAAAAGTGAAATCTGAAGATATCTCATCAGGGCACGCTAAAAATCGTGCTCTCTAAGCGCTTGTGCTAATCTAAAAGCGCCCATCGAACACGGGTTATGTGCAACAAAGAAACTTCTGTTGATAATGAAATCGTATATATATATATATATATATATATATATATATATATATATATATATATATATATATATATATATATATATTATCATAAGTTTTACATGCATTTTTGTGTGCTAGAATGCAAATAATTAAATCTTCCATACTCAATTTTTTTTATCTCACATAAATAATCAAAATTTTCAATGAAACAAGAGTTAATCTTCATCTCCTACTCAATTAAATACTAAGATATTAATCTGAGAGTGATGTAATATACTACATTGATATAGTGTCAAAATTGATCATCGAGCTGTGTCAATAAAAATTAAATCAATCCATCACATTTGTCGAACATCATCACATCTTTAGAAACGGATCTCCGATGATTCTTGAGTATGATTCTCTTAATTAGCATACAAGTTTAGAAAATAATCTTAAAATAATAAATATCTATTCTTCCTTCAAACTCCTATCAATGTGATGGATTTTGATTAGTTGAGCTCCACAGGTAGAAATCTAATTGGACAGAAATATTTTTTTTCTCTTTCTTTCTTCTGGAATGGTGTAATTAATGAGAACATAAAAAGACTTGTTCATCAAGATTGGATCAGATGGGATTTGCTATCAAACACTACAGGACTTTGGAACCCAAACTCAGTCCACCTTGTTCAATCCTCTTGTCCTACTTGTGTTCATCAAAGTCAACCTAGAAAGGTCAGAATAGATGAGCTAAAGTGGGGGGTCTGTCTGATGAGGAAGAGCAGCAGAGGATACAGAGCAAGACAAGCCCCTGTAGTCCTCAGCTGCTCATCAATCTGACAAGTCCCCTCATGATGGCTTTCTTGGAAGATGTCAATTTATAGAACACATACTCTTTTTCATGCTCAACAATCTGCAAGTGAAGTCTCACCCCTTTTATACTTTTTGGATGGTGATAGAGTAAAATCCTTTATTTATTTATTTTTACTCTTTATTTGGTATGGTCTACAGTTCTTTGTGTTCTTCCCTTTCAATCTTATGAGACATCTTACATGTAATCAATCTTGACCTTTATATATTGGGGTTGATGAGTATTTTTAGACTTTTAAAGCTAGTATCTTTGAGGATGAGGAATTCAAGCATCAAGAGAAGATACTTCAAGTACTTGTTTTTTTTTTTCTTTTTTTCTATGTGAACATAAGTAAGGAGTGTCAGATTACATAAATCTTATATCGATCTTTTCGATTTGTATTCGATTATTAATCTTTAGATTTTTTCTTTCCCTATTGAGGTCTTCTCCCATTATCATAATAATCAAACAAACAAGACAAACTTGGTTGAGATTGTTCAAAAGCTTATTAGCATTGCAATTTGGGAGTTGGATTGGACTCAACCCTAACTGTTGCTGAATTGAAACCCAACCCATGTCCACTGCAAATGTAACTGCTACATCTCCATCATTCATTTTAGGACTGTTGATTACCCTCTACTTCCCATGTTACTGTATGAAGATGAGTGAGATATCTGCTTGCAGAGCTTGCAACATTGGAATATTGTGCTGCTGGAACTTCCTTTTCAACATCTTCCAGTTTTCTATGTTTCTAATACCTTTAGTGGCTAACAAATTCTATCTTCAAGTGTTTGTCCTCATGCTGTGATCCCCTCTCCTGTTAAGCATGAATTGGTGCATCAGTCATAGCTGACATCAACTGCATTTTGATTATAAAGATGTCCAAGATCTACCTCAAATTATTCTCAGACAAGCCTACCTACATATGCCAGATTGTAGTGGATTAGGTTGAATGAGGTTTAACAGGCTGTGACAGGGTTTGCCACCACCAAGCTCTAATCTTTAGATACAACATGCATCAAACAAGCTTTCAAATGATGGTGGCACTATAAAATGGTAGATTTGTAGTCAAAGGTGAAGCAAAAGTGAGCAACTGGAAGGATGAATCAGTATCACAGTCGAAAGTAAAGGTAAAGAGACCATAGCAAATCTCTCGACTTAAAGAGCTACCATCACTGCCTGCACCTCTGGATTCTTTAATGAGCACGACAATGATTGTAGTCTGAGAAATGATCTCAAGCAGAGTAACCGATTGACAGAACTGTGTGGCAGGAGTAAGATCAGTAACCTGCTGGAAGCCATTGATGGATGAACTCAAAGAAGAATTGATGCTTGTTTCCAGGGTAATGAGTTCTGCTGTAAACTACAGTACAATAATTTATGGACAGTTAATTATCCTGGCAGAGGACCAACTCCAGCTTTTAATGATACTTGTGCCCCACGAGGGAGCTCTTTACTCAGTTGGATGGTCCATCATGGAGCTAATATCAACCCTGTCAGTCTCTTGATTCTATTCTATTCACTGATATAGTGCAATAGATTTACTAAGAGACACAGTAGGAAATATTTTATATAACTGTATTAAAATCTTAATATTTTTTACTTCAATCTAATCTAAAACCTTAAACAAGGTGTTTAAATTAGTATGGAAGGGAGACATCTCACAACCCACAGACACTATCTCAAGTGTAAGGACTAAGAATCACTGCCCAAGGAAAGAGCTCACTGTCATGGTCCAACCTGTGGCAGGTGTTGCATCTTCTTCTTGCTTGCATCCATCAAAAAGTTCATTACCCAATGGCTACCACAATTGTGGGGATAATTAAATTGCATCACAGAAAGGAGTCCTCTCACAGTAACACTGAGAGAAAGGACATGCTCAGTACCTTTTTACTTAGTGATGAAGTAACTTCATACATGGAACTCTAATAGAATCAATCCTCCTTGTGCTGTCTACATTGGATCAGAAGTGTCAACCCTTGATGTGAAGAAATCATTTAGGGTTTTCAGGAGCTTCTTGCAATTGCATCAAAGTTGCCTGGAATAGCTTTAGTTTTTCTAGCCCTAGCTTCTAGGGTTTGCCTCCTTGTCTGACATTAGCCTCTTGGTTCTGCTCTTCCCTATGCTACCACCATTGCAAACCCCAGTTGAAGCTTTAGTTTAGGCTCTGACTCTGACACATTCTACTTCTCCATGAGTTCCTTCCTAAGACCAGAGAGCAAGCCAATGTGGTTTGGCTTTACATGTGATCTTATCTGCCACAAAGGTCAATTTGCCCAAGGACACCATATGACAACCACTATTCTTTTGATCCAAGAAAATTCTCTGGATTCTGAGAGGGGTGGGCTTGTAGAATTCCAATAATTGCCCCAAGCAAATGTGTCTCCTATTGCAGCACATGATTGGTACAACAATTGTATTGTAAAAGCAGTGGTTGCTGAACCACTTTCTTCTTCCTATCACATTCCTAAATCATCAGGCAATTTCTTCTACTGCTTGCCCTGAGTTGAATGAAGAATGAGGAGGAAGAGGCAATGTAATGTGCAAATGTCTTAGCAATGCCACATGGGTGATGAAGGCTGCTGAGCTATTGATCTTTCAGAATGCCAACTTGCTCTCTGACATATCCTGTGGATTTGATGTGGCTTTCATGTATGGCTCATCTACTCTTTAGATCAAATGTCATAATTCGATTCATCTGTTTAATCTATATTTATAATTATTTTTTCAATATATTTTTATATGATTTCACTTTTAACTTGTAGATAAATCTAAGTTCATATTTAATAGATAACAACAACTCAATTGTCTTCTTCTCAAGCTTAATCACTGAGGTGCACAGGAAATTAAGAAGTGCAACAGCAACTTCTTTGTTCTGGGCAGCTTATAAAGGGGTGAGACAGAATCCCAAGCTGCCAACATTGGATGTGGCATTTCCTTCCAAATGACATAAAACAGATGCCATCATCAATCACCTCCTCAAAGCTGTAAAAGCAAAAGAAAGGCGACTCCTTTACCTCCTCGCCATCTCCCCTCCTCTCTTTTGCTTCGTTCCCACCTTCAAACACCCTTCTCTTCAGCATCTTCCCACTTGGGCAAGGGAATCCAACAGCCCTTTCTCCTCTGCAATTCCCAAAGATCTGCAATCTTGGTCCATCGTTGATCCTTTGTTCTTCACTTCCTGTGACTCCTTTCGTTTGAAAGCTTCTTCCTTTTCTCCTCTCTACTCCTGAAAGCTGGAAGCTTTGCTCCGGTCTTCTCTTTTCCTGCTCATCCCTCCCAAAATTTGATTTTTCTTCCCACTTCTTTGGTAGTCTTTTTCGCGTGAGAATCTGAGTCTTCTCCTTTGAGGATTGGATTTCTTTCTGCCCCTTGTTTCTGTACTTGGATTCGTGGTTGTTGTTGCAAAGCGAAGATGTTCTACCGACTGCTGATGCTTCAGTTTCTGATCGGTTTTACTGGATCCTGACACTTGGAGCTCCATACCAGAGTCTGATCTTCTCCAAGATTTGATCTTTTTCCTTGGACTTGGATTTAGACTCCATGGGAGGTTGCCATGGAAAGCCACTACAAATCCCGGAATCCCAGGAAGAGGGCGAGCCAGTCCCCAACACCGAGGAGCCTACAACCGTTCCAGGCACCCCGCGGCAACCCAAGTTCCCCTTCTGCAGCCCAAGCCCACTTCCGGGCTATTACAAGAACTCGCCGGCCAATTCAAGCGTGACATCGACACCACTGCGATTCCTCAAGCGGCCGTTCCCTCCTCCGTCGCCCGCAAAGCACATTAAGGCCCTACTCGCTCGTAGACATGGCTCGGTGAAGCCCAACGAGGCACCGATCCCCGAGGGGAGCGAGGTCGAAGTCGGCTTGGATAAGAACTTCGGTTTCTCGAAGCAGTTGTTCTCAAAATTTGAGCTTGGCGAGGAGATTGGGCGCGGGCATTTTGGTTATACGTGCACCGCAAAGGTGAAGAAGGGTGATATGAAGGGGGAGGAGGTGGCTGTGAAGGTTATTCCAAAGGCAAAGGTTGGTGTTTTATTGCGGTTGATCTGTGCTTATGTTTCTCTATTCATTGTCCGAAACCTTTGGCATGCATCTTTACATTATCTATGGAATTCAGCATGTAATCTCATTGGCATTCATCCAGTCTCACCAGATACTGTGGGCTCTCTGTGGAATGGGCATTTCTTTTTCTTCTCTACTTATTTTAGTATCTGGATAATTTTTTGTGAGATCCACTGGTTGGGGAAGAAAGTGGTAGTCAGTGTTGTCCTCCCACACACATGAATAATTTCACATGCATTCTCCTGTTCTTCACATTTTCTCCCACTTACTGGACACTGTCTTTGAATGGGGTAAGATGGAAGATGCTTCCACTTTTACAGTGGAACTCACTGTTGTCCTCCCATGTGCATGAATGTTCTTGTACGCTTCTCCTCTTCTACCGCCAAGTATGTATTTACATGGCTGATACAGGAAAGGTTCTTCTCATTTTTGCCACCACTCACTGGACTTATTCTTTGGAAAGGATCAAGATGTGAAGTATGTGGGAGCAAGCAGCCGAGATCCTCTGTTTCATCATGAATGCTGGCTTATAGAATTTTCGTCAGACCTGATTACTTGAATGCAGCTTAATATTCTTTTCCATGTAGTTAAATCTTCATTCTGTTGATGACAATTTTGTGCTGGTTGTCATCTACCTAAGGCACAGCTAGTTGTTTCTTTGAGCTTGGCCACTGTAGCATATTGTCCTCAACAGTTATCCTCAGTCGCATATTTCACGTAACTTTAACATTCATTTAAATTAGTGGAAAAACACACAAATTTCCTCTGTCTAGTCACATGTGGAAATACTTTGCAGATGACAACTGCTATTGCCATTGAAGATGTGCGGAGAGAAGTGAGAATATTGAGTTGTCTCACAGGACATAAGAATCTAGTGCAGTTCTATGATTCCTTCGAGGATGAAGATAATGTGTATATCGTGATGGAGTAAGTGTACGCTGCTTTTCATGTTTCTTCGAGGTTCTAGTGCCATATTTGTTCATGGCTTAGAAGGGGCATAGATTCAACTACTGTGTGCAGCTGATTATTTAAAACAACTCGCTCGATGTTTGATCAATTTGAGTCTACTTTCTTTGGAACAGGTTATGCAAAGGTGGTGAATTACTAGAAAGGATTCTCTCGAGGTAAATTATGTATTTAGAATTGTATCTGTCAATTACCTTTCCAAGGATGTTGGTGTTGTAACAACCCCTTTGCTGGACTTGAATAAGGAGGTTCAATAATAATTATTTTTTAATTTATAGGGGAGGGAAGTATTCAGAAGAAGACGCAAAAGCTGTCATTGTGCAGATTTTGAGTGCTGTATCATTCTGTCACCTTCAAGGAGTTGTTCACCGAGACCTCAAACCAGAGGTAGTTGCTTTTATAAACTGGAATGCCAGAATTTTTCACGTTAAGAAGTCTAACTTGAGAAGGGTTTTCTGATGAATCTTTGGTCATTTCTTCATGTTAAGGTTTAGTTTTCACCATCTTGGTAACTCATGTTCCTACTTTGTTGGTTTAGAACTTTCTTTTTACTTCAGAGGGTGAAAAGTCTACTTTGAAGGCCATTGATTTTGGTTTGTCAGACTTCGTCAAGCCAGGTTGGTCATTAAAATATTTTAGTACCTTGATAAAGTTTTCACCTCTAGATATTTCTTTTTAGTTCTAGATCGTAAACTAACAATGTTGACATCACTGGATTTACAGATGAGAGACTGAATGATATTGTTGGAAGTGCATATTATGTTGCTCCTGAAGTTCTTCATAGATCTTATGGAACTGAGGCAGACATGTGGAGTATTGGTGTCATTGCATATATATTACTCTGTGGAAGCCGCCCTTTTTGGGCGCGCACGGAGTCAGGTATATTTCGAGCTGTTCTGAAGGCAGAACCAACTTTTGATGAGGCTCCATGGCCTTCTTTGTCTTCTCAAGCTAAAGATTTTGTCAAGAAATTGCTGAATAAGGACTATCGTAAGAGAATGACTGCTGCCCAGGCCCTTTGTAAGTTTATTAACTTGGTATAGTTTATTAAAAGGAATAAGCTGGTTAATAACTGTAATCACCTGATCTCAGGTCATCCTTGGCTGCGGAATCCTGAAGTTAAGATTCCTCTTGATATTATTGTCTACAAGCTTGTAAAAGCTTATATATGTTCTTCTTCTCTGAGGAAATCAGCATTGAGGGTATGCGCTATCTTTCAGTTGACAATGAAGAAATTATTGTCTTGTAACTTTTTGGAACATTGAGATTTTTGTACCTTCTCACTCTGCCTTATATCAACTAATGAAACCTTCAAAGAACGAGTTAGGTCATGTGGAGGAAGGATGAGCCCAAGTTTAAATTCAATTTACATACGGTCCAGGCTTTTTGAGATAAGATAATGAAAAAATTATTTGGTCTTCAAAGGGTCAAATTGCATCTTAGCAGAAATTTTCAAGGGTTTGAAATATGTCATGATTAGACTCACAAATATAGTCATGTAACTATTACGGTAGTTTTATGTAATCATGTAGTAAGTGCTGTTAGTAATTTTTAGAATTTAAGAGAACATGGCGCACACAGGTAAAAGTGTTCATTAGAAGTCTTGAACCTATCTTTTGAGATCGGTTGAATGACAAGTACATCAGCTGGGAAACTCAGTAAAATAGTCTAACATTAATACATAGTTTAAGCTCATATATATGTCTAAGCATTTTAATGCTGATAATAGGATGAATTTAGATAATCAGAAAAATGTAATCGAATATAGTTTAGTATGAAGACTAGTTTGACTTTAGAGTATTCATATGTTCTGGTTTGCTTTTCTGCACCATGCCATCTACCAATTCGAAGAGTATATGCCAACCACCAAAAAAATTAAAGAAAAAGAAAAGAAAAAAAACCTGCCTTCGTTATCTATTGATTCTTTCATATGCAACAGGCTCTCGCCAAGACGTTGACAGTAGATCAGCTCTATTGCCTTCGAGAACAATTTGCTTTGTTAGGGCCAAACAAGAGTGGCTACATCTCCCTTCAAAACTTAAAGACGGTTAGTTACTCATATTGAAATAAGCACCAAGTTCCTTAATCATAGATCTTTAAATTTATTTTTATTTTTGCAGGCCTTGTCGAGAAATTCGACAGAAGCAATGAAGGACTCAAAAGTTCTTGATTATGTCAACACGGTATTCCTCTTTGGAACACACTGATTACCTTAACAAAATTCTGTCTGTTAATGTTACAAACTTAGCAATTCATCCTCCATTGGTTCTTTTGGAATTAGGTGAGTTCTCTTCAATACAGAAAACTAGATTTCGAAGAATTTGTTGCCGCAGCCATAAGCGTGCTTCAGATGGAAGCACTGGATACCTGGGAACAGCATGCTCGTCATGGATATGAATTCTTTGAGAAGGATGGGAACAGGCCAATCATGATCGAGGAACTTGCATCGGTACATATCATGTCTATTTGCCTCACATTTTTTATACAGCACATATGTTAAAAAAATCCAATCGATCCTTTAATTACTTGGATTCAAATCCTCATTTAATGGCAGTCATTCTACTTGGCACTCACAAGCGCTAGCTGTTGTCATTCTTTACTACTTTTGCAATGTACCTGATAGCGGCAATCTTTACTATGCATGCACAGGAACTCGGCCTTAGTCCGTCGGTTCCCGTTCATGTTGTCCTCCAGGACTGGATAAAGCATTCTGATGGGAAACTGAGCCTCCTGGGATTCGTTAAACTTCTTCATGGGGTTTCTTCACGCGCAATTCCAAAATCTTAGCGGAACATTCTTCATCAGGCACGGAGAATAAGGCAGCAGTGGCTGATTGCTTAATGAGTCGACTGAAGTAGACCGAAGACAATCTATGCATGCCCCTAATGAGGTTGATCGAGGAGACCAGCCAAACCAAGATCATCATAGCATAGCCATGGTGACACACATGAAAACTTCCTCTGTGTAAGATGCTTCGCGTTTAGCCATATTGATGATTAGTGTTATAATGGTTGTCCAGAAGAATGTACGGATAAGAACAGCATGTGTAGACGAAGGTTGAAGGAAATGGAGGCCTGCTGACCGGCTTGTAATACTTTCTTTTTACTGTCAACAAGGTCTTTGCACGGTTACATGCATCGCATCGAGAAAGATAGATTGCGATCGGTAATACTGTCGTAGAAAGAATATCTCAGGCATGAGAATGCAGAATTCCTGCAGAATAAGTAGGGAGTTTATACTGTAAGATTAGAGGTACAAACTTTGGTTTGTTGAATCACCTAAAACACATTGGTTGCTGAGTTCATCTCTAAATTTCAAATTATGATTGATAATGCCACCACTTGCCTTATGCTGATGTTTGTCTTGCAAAATCGGGTATCCAGCAATAAAAAAATCTGTATATTGTTTTAGCTTGTAATAAAATATCATATTGGTAAAATTTGTTGTTCTAGCTTTACAACAATGTCTGACTAAATCTAAGATAAAGAATGATAAAAGCTTTAATGCCAATCCATTTGCAGTTCATGAAATGAATAGGTGGAGTTGCTGATGGAACAAAGAACCTGCAATGTCTTGGTGCATGAAACCTGAAACCCCAGAAACAGATCACAAAAACTTGGCAGAGAGTAGTTCAAAGGACTTGGGGTTTCACCAGCAACTTAGAACTATCAATCAAGATCGTAAAATGCTCGAGTTGGAACGGAAAAAATGAGAAGCTAAATATGTAATTTACATTGAATTCCTTGTGTCCAACAACGATCCATAAATCTGCAAGAACTAGCTGCAGATTGCCATCAGGCTCGATCTCATAGATTTTCAGCTATGTTTGCTACTAATCATCTCTACAACTGATGGATAGTGCAGCAATAATTTTTACGTCCTCCGTCGTGTTTTGGGCATGATGGAGTATGCACAGATGATGCTTGAACCAGGACTTTGATGAAGTCTACTCCAAAGCATCTGCCGGCCAAAGCTGTCTCCACTTGGATATTTCATCCTTGCTTTTGAGTTTTCTTATTCCTCCAAAAAATCCATCTGTTTCATTACCCCCTTCTCTGTGATCCTTCGGGTTGATTGATGCTCGTCTCCACCTCGAACCAGGTGTGTACTGGTTGAATTCTAAGACAACAGTGTCTGGTAAATCACATAACAAATGATTGAACTTTAGCTACTACAAGATGAATCATAATCACAACCATCAGAGAACCTACAACGCACTGATAGAGATAAAATAAGCTTAGTGCAGTGCTTAAGGCGTATACACATATTCTACCAAGGCTAATAACATTACAAAGGCTAATAGTTTAGCTTTTAATAACATTATGAAAGCTAATAGTTTGGCAAATTTGAAGTTCATGCACTCGGAAGTTACATGAGGTGGATGGTACTGAAGTCTACCTATCAACATACTACAAGCCAGTTTTCTTATTCCTGCTTCACCTCAGTCACCAAATTTTGTTTTTATTTCAAATGAACTCCTAGAATGTCAAAAAAGTAAAGTGTGGCTGTCGATAGAGAGCTTGTGCTAATCAAAGTTCGCACCAAACCTAAGTACTTCTATCATTGTGAATTTTTTGATGAATAATACAGAAAATTAAGTTTAGGGAATTCACGAATGCCATTATTCACCAAAACCAAAAAAAGACAATCTTATCCGTCAACAGTAGATTAAGACCAAGAAAAATCAGGAAGTAATGGCAGAGGAGTCATCACTTGCAAAGATACTTCTGTTTTTTGGATGGCTGGAGGAGAATGCAGCAAGAAATTGAATATGAATGTACGATTAAAAATCTCAGACCTGCATACATCAAAGAAATAACTGTAATGGAAACAATTACTCTGCTGCAAACGTAAGGCAGATTTGGCCCTGCATTGGGCTGCCCTTTTTAGAGTCGATCCTGATAAGGTGTTTGGGAGGAAGCTCCTAAAATGAAATGCTTTGTGCACGAATGATTTAGAACAAGTGCCAATCATCCTATAATTACCAGCTGAAATGAACTTAACCGAGGAGAAATGTATGATAATGCAGGCAGACTTTGTTTCTCTTTTTAATTCATTTATTTTACAATAATGCTTAAGCATGATTTCATAAGGCCAAAACCAATTGACGTAATTGTCAGATATGCTATCATAAAAAAGTAAAGGATGCATGATGCCTGATTGAACAGGAAGATGAAAAGTCTTGCGTGCTATTATTGTGTGTGTAAGTTAACAAAGGTTGAAGACAGAAGTCATAATTATTTGAGATGCATCAAAGATAAATACTAATACTTGATTAAGGATAAGCAACACTACATTACTGAATTTTGACAGCAAATGAATGTGCGAAAATGATAATTGCTTGCATGCCATCATTTTCTGAAAGAAAAGGCAGCACCAAATGTAAATAAAATCTAAATGGTATCCAAAAAGCAATAGTCAAAGAGCGAATAGATAAGAAAAAAAGTTTGATAGAGTCATATAAACGAGAACTCCCACAACAACTTGAGCAACTTCAAAGAACAGCTCATAGACCATCCTGATTTGATATACTGAAAGAAAACAAGGGAGAAGCACCCTAAGACTCTTTAGTCTTCCACAATAAAGTTTAACCTACTATTTATAATAACTCCGTTTAAGAAATTTCTGATCCAAGGACGGTGTTCAGTAAAATTCCATAAGATTTAAAGGTTGTGCAAATTATGAACTTCTAGCCAGACCTTTTATCACTAACATCTAGGAAGCAAAAGATCAACTCTGGGATATACAACAGCATAAATTTACTTACCGCTAAGATGACACCAGCAGAAATGCTCATTTCCATCACAAGGTTCCAAGTGACCAACTACTCCATACCACCAGCCTGCAAAACATAATGAGACATTGTTGACTTATTCTCCTAAATATCTGAACTGTATGACACTTCTTACAAATAAGAAATTGAGTCTTTGTATTGAAGTAAAGACAAAATGAAAAACTTAATGTGCTACATTGATTTCATCACAACCAGGAAGGTCGATCAATGCTAAAGCACCCACCATATGGAAACTCCTTGCTCCTCCTCCATTGAATCTCAATATGATCGCCAGGACGTAAATCATCGAGGCAGTCCGAGATATGAAGATCATGAGCAGGAGTCTCAACAGGGGGGGGCCTTAGCCTATCCCACTGCACTCCCTCCTCCACGACTGTAGTTCGCCGTCCATGTGGCGGGTACCTACAAGTGATGATGATAGATATCAAAAGCTATGTACAGGTATTAAATCCAGTTATACACATACATACTACAAGACTGCATAATTTACCTTTCGAAAATTCATGAATGTAAACTTCAGTGATTTCATGCTCATATTTTCAGTTTCAATACTTACCAAAGCTTTAAGTTGTAAGAAACTTTAGTGATTTCATGCTCATATTTTCAGTTTTACTACTTACCAAGCTTTAATTTGTATGATGCGCTAGAATCTTAACAAAAACATTTTACACAAAGAGCAGAAACTTTGCATTCAATGAGGCCAATCTATGGATACCTTGCATGAAAAGTGTCTGTCTGGCAATCATATCTAACAGCAGCATCGTAGCACGATAACATAAACCCCACATGCCCATGCTGCAGAGAAGCATTACAAACTCTTAGTAATTTAAGCTAAAAGGAGAAGAGCTATAAACAGTTTTTCTAGGACAGCAAAAGTTGTAAATATTAAGCTGCAAAATATTCAGACAGAACAAATGAAGATGGGAGTTTATGACATGAAACATGATCATGTATCTCACATATTAATTAAACAAATAATGATCACTAGCAACTTGACACTATGAAACCACCATCTATATCATAATCTTGCCTAATTTAATGTACAGGCACAAGGAATCAGAACCTAATGCTTGTAAGACATAAAGCATATGCATGCGCAAAGGGATGGAAATTGCACATCAAACTTATTGGTACTGGTGAATTTGTACAGATGATTACCTCCCTGTTGTAAACCTGAGCTGGGAACCAGAACTTGCCACTCTCCAGTGACTGGTACCAGGACATAATGGAGTCATCAGGCAGAGGATTCTTGGTCTTGCTACCACCATCAATCCTAGATTTCAGCCAGGAAATATGCCACACACGAGAGAGCACACTGACCACCCACTTCTTGCTGCTGTCGCTGCCGGCGATGCCTGCCGAAGAGTCCTCTCTCGAAGCCAAATAGAGCTTCCAATCTCTGCGTGCCGCATCGCCAATCACTCTCTCCCATTTCTCCTTCATGTGCTTCTCCCAGAGGTGATCGCTTCTGCACCTCTCTCTCAAAGAGCTACAAACAGCTGCCATGTTAGACAGCCCGGCCGGTGACAACTTCCCCAGAATGCATTCCAGGGCCAGCTCTGGCAAATCCAAGACCGACATCTCCTCCGCATTCTCCACCCTTTGGCCACATATCTTCCTTGGAGGCGTCGTGACCGACGATAAAGCACCAGACTTTCGAGCACTAATCGGCTTACACTTGTCGAACAAATGCAGCAGAGAGGACAATAACTCCTGCCAGAACAAGACAGAGAGCAGTCTCACCTCACCGGCCCATGGAGGCAGGGGCTGCAGCGGAAGAGACTTGGAGAGGAGGAGAAAGAAGGGGAAAGATGGCATGATGAAGAAGAAGAGCATCAGAGAGGTGAAGCCGCGAGATCTTCCCGAGGGGTGCTCGATTGGGTTCTCCACATGAAGATCAAAGAAAGAAAGACAAACAACTCCCAATTGCTCGAAAGGCAGCGGCTTGACAAAGATTTGAGGCGTATCGGAACGAGGAATGGCTCGGTGCTGACGCGACGAAGCCCACTAGAGCTCCATCGCAGCAACTTTCGGATCAAAGAAGCCAAAAACACAGGTTTGGGAGCGCAAGAATTATGAAACAAACAAGAAAAGGGACGAGGAGATGAGAGGTAATGGAAGAGAGGAGATCGGGTGCAGCCAACACCAGGATTACAGAGGTGTGAGAAGGACAGAGCTTGAAGAATAAGCTGGGTGATGGGGGTCAGGAAGAGAGGATTGGAAGAGAAGAAGATGGAGCTGAACATAGAAAAAGGTGGTGAGGGTGGCCCCTCCTCTCAGTTCATCAGTATCTTCCTCCCAACCTACCAAATCCTCAGCTCCACCAGCGCCAAATCTCTCTCCCTCCCTCTCTTTCTTCCCTTCCCTTCCCTGGGGAATCACAGATTAAAGAAACGGTGAGGAGAGACAGACTGAAAGAAGGATTAATTGACTATTATCTAATCATACATGGGACATCAGCTATAAATGGCTGAGAGAGAGTTTAACCTTTTACTTTTCTTTGGTTGTGTCAGGCTGCATTAGAAAATAAGGTAGCCAATCATTATCAAGAAACACATGCGCACCTCTCTCTCTCTCTCTTTCAGCCACCAATGGCTTATGTGGTTGGTAGAGATAATAGCTCAAGTCACAACTGGGCACATCACTGCTGTGGAAGAGGAAGGACCATGTCTTCTTGTTGCTGGTGGGTTGAGTAAAAGTTTCTTGTGCTGATTGGGCATTGGAAGCCTGCAAGGTTCCTCCTGCTGTGTCTCCATCTTACATTTATCAGACATCTTTGATTGAGTCAGATGACATCTACAGCAATGAAGTAAAGTTGGATGGATGATTTAGGACTGATAATGGATGCATGCCATAGTTTAGCCATGACCTCTCTCTTTCTGCTTCATAAATCCTTGATCTACTCTGGTTTGAGCTAGCCTGAAGTTTTATAAATTGATCAAGATAAAAGATTACATGATTTGTGATCATGTAGTTGCCATTTGAGCACAGGACAAAGCATGGATGGATATGACCTTTAGATGAATTACTTTATACACTGAAAGTGACCATCTACTACAGAATAATACAGCTTGTCAAAAGATATATTGCTGTAGTGACCAGCAGTACTTTGCACATGCATTTCAGTGAGCTCATACCATATCAAGGAGTCCATTGCATCACTCTCATCATTCTTGTATGTGACTAATGATGCACCAAGCAAAGAACTGACAAGCTTTTCCTATTGTTTTGATGCTAATAATGTTCAACTGAAGAATTTTTAAATTGAAACAGATGATACTGAAATAACTAATACTGACATGATAATCTCAATGTATGAACATTCATACGAAAATGCAGATCCAGTCACTACATTAGTCACAATGTTAAAAAAGTAGGCTTAGCAAAAGGAATGTCTCTGGAGGAAGCCATGTGTTTAACATGCAGGGAATCAATGAACAAGTGACTTGCTCAAGTAGTCCTCAAATTTGACCAAAGCTTCAACATGGGGGAAGTAGCAGTCAATTCATGAACAATTTCAAGATTTCTTTGTCACCTTTCTTCCCAGTTAATTGTTTTCTCAACAAGTGTACTTGGTCAGGGTATTGGGATCTTGAGCTGGATTGTCTTTATCCTCAAAATCTTAGGTGCACTAAAGATGGTAGACTAATAGAAAAAGCAAGGCTCAGGAGATACACAAATTCCCCATCATCATTCTGCTTCGTCTCCTATGGTGGTAACAGTCCAGCATGGAGTCCACAATGGTAAATGGATGACTTCATAAAGAGAGTGGCCATCTTTAAGAATCAAGTGATTTATTAATCGACACAAGCTATTCTAAAGGGATTGCCAAAACCATTATATTTCAGGAGATTGGATTGCCAAGGAACTAGCCTCTGCTAAGGGGAACCAAAGTGGGGCAGGGCCTAATGTTGTGCAAACTTATAAAGTTGATAATCTGCAGCAAGATATGAGATTCTGACCAATGTTTGACAAAAGCTTGTGCAGGTTACAAGGTTGGTGGTGTAAGAAAGTACCAGTCTGCTGTGGTTTGGATAGAGTTACAGGAAGATGGTGGAAAGCCAACATGCCAATGGATGGAGTGAGGCTTGGTGCTTGCTAAATGGCATAATTGCATCTGCAAATGCACACTGTAGCATCCACCTTTTGAGAGGAAAGGTTGTGACAGAGGCAAGGAGAACATGCCCTAGTCATGGGAGATATTTGTGGGCTTTCCAAAGATTTTGAAGGGTATGATAGAGAATCAACTAGCTAGCTTTGGGATTCCTGGCACTTGTCATTTGTTTAAGGTGTCACCTAAGAACTTTTCCTTCTGGAGATGAAGACCAGCACATTGCATCAGCCTGCAATTAGTGGAATCTGATTCATTTGCCTGTGCATCAAAAATGCAAAAGCCTATCTCATTCAAGCTCCAGGGAACAGTAGGGACTTGCCTTATCAGTGGCAATGGAACTCATTAACCACTCTGTCCTCCTTGTAACCAAGAACTGCTCAAAGAAAAGTTTCCAATGGCATAAGCTTTCAAACTTTGACATTTTTAACTCAAAGCATAAAGTCAAACACAAAAAAAAGATGGATCAACTTTGATGGACACAATGATACATGGTTTGCAATAGATGTAATACACTTGGAGTTTGTCATTACCTTCAATTGTGGTCTTAATTACATATAGATATCATAGAAAATTACATGATAGTATAGTCACTGGTGTTAGAAAACTGGAGAGTAGTGTGTTCAGGGAGTTGCCTATTTGTATAAGATTATTATGGTCTTAATTACCTATAGATATCATAGAAAATTACATGATAATATAGTCACTGATGTTAGAACACTGGAGAGCGTGTTCAATGAGTTGCCTATTTGTGTCAGACTACACCAAGCATCGACATCAAGTAATCTACCAATAAATTACCTAACAGTATCCATTTGCTCCTTTCAATGAAAGAACACCAACAAAACCACCCAAAGAAATGGAACACAGGTGCAGCAAATTAAACGATGCAGTCGTGCAGGTAGTAAGAAATATCTGAATCGTCCTCAGACATCCGTATGAGTTCCTTCCTCATATCAATCTGGAAGAAAGTGACAATTTTGGGTCTCAAGGAATAAGACGTTCGATTGTGAGTGCAATGAATGAGTTGCCTACTAATTTACCAAGTTAAACACAGGAAACAAGGAGAACCTGGACAGGAGGCGAGGGCGAGAGAGATCGCAGGGGAACGAGGAGGAAGGAAACGAGGTGGTGGGCGAGAAGAACGCGTAGATGGAGAAGCGGAGGATCGGAGCCTTAAACTGTTCGATGTAATGCTTCACCCACCCACCCACCGTTTCCGATTTGCGCTCTCGTCTTATGCACGTCGGTACAACGCACAGTGTGAGAACGAAAATCCAGCTAGAGTCAACGGTGAACCGGAGGCCGAAGTCAACGTTGCCGAAGTAGTGTGTTCTAATCACTTGTCAACGAGACTCTAATTACGTTTTCACTTCTGTTTCCCACTTCTTGGAGATTTTTTGGCAAAGGATAAACGTTGTTGACGAGATATCATCCTAAGATCCTAAAGTAATCTAAAATAGCTAACATCTTCAATTGTATCTGCCAAAAGATTTTGCTTGCTTCAAGAAGCACATCACGATTTTGACTTTTTCAGAAGGTTGAAAATAGAAAGATCAACATGCAATTCATATCTCCAACCTTTTCAAAAGGTGTGACAAGCTATTGTCGTAGACAAACCATACAAATTTAAAGTTATGATTGATATAAATTGAAGCTGAGCTTCCCATTATAAGATCCATTTACAGTTCAGATAAATGAGATTACTGAAACATTCTTTTTTTTTCTCTGTGAGTTCCATTATATAACATGACTTTGCCTGACAAAAGTGAGGTGGAAAAAAACCAGCACTTTTGGGCTATATCTGCAATTATGGTTGGTTACTTCCTTGGTTTCGCCATCTCAATCAATATTTCTACATGGATTCCATGAATAGCTTCTTCCGTTAGGTAGATTTTGGATGTTCCATTTCATGATTGCCTGCTTCCCTTCTGGATGTGCTTTCAAACACTTTACCCACAATGCCAAGACATGGAGGATATCAGTACCATGTTCTCTCATCAGCATTCATCCCCCTTCCCTTTTGTGTCAAATGAATACATCCCTTCTCTTCTTTGGGTTGGGTTCAGGGTTCCCCTTTCGCATCATCGCCACGAACTCATCGTAGTTGATTCTTCCATCCTGTGTATAACAAGTGAAATGTATTAGTCTCTTCCACCGTGAAACAGCTATCGCAAAAGCCACTTGGTTGTTGCCATGTCAGGTCTGCAGTAATACTTACATTGTCGGCATCAGCTTCAGCGATGATATCCTTAATTTCCTGCCCGTCATACATTCCCTTCTCTTTGAGAGCTTGTTCAAGTTCCTCCCTTGTGATGTAACTGAAGTGAAAGCAGAAGAAAGCAATTACAAAAGTTCAATACAAACTGCTATGTCGGCTAAAAGATTATTTTGTTATCAACATCTTGTGTTTGCCTCCAGGCTTGTTCGAATTACCCGCTATTATCTTTATCGAAGTACTGGAATGCCTTGTAGAGGTGCTCCTCTCTATCCATCCTGTTCATGTGCACTGTGGCTGTAATAAATTCATCATAGTCAATAGTTCCATTGCCATCTGCATCAGCCTATGTCAATGCAACATCATTATTCACAAAAGTAAAAGAGAAGAGAGAAAACATTAGATTCCTTCCTTGTGGATGCACTTTTGGCCAATAAGATAACAAATATATTTGCCGCTTACTGCTTCCAGTAACTGTTTGACTTCGTCTTCAGATAATTTTGTTCCTTGCTTCGTAAGACCTTCTTTCAACTCTTCGACAGTGATGGTTCCACTATTGTCCGAGTCCATGTTCTTGAACATCTCTTTTAACCCTTTGATCTCTTCCTCTGATAAGCACCCTGCTATTATCTATACATCACAAAGGAAACGAGTAGGAGTACATGAAAAGGGTACAAATACTTGATTATGAATACCTAGCAATTTGCCTTCTAAATGTCCTATACTCTTCATACTTCTAGGAGACTGTTTAAGTTTACTAAGCCTGTTATGCCTTGGCACATCAGAAAGCAAAATTTGTTGCGACATTTGAACTAAGGTTCAAAACAAAGAGATACCCTTTAGGATATCATGATAAAAGAATTTGAATTCACCATCAGATCCAAGTTTAAATTGTCATGGCTATTAGGTCACTCATTGTACCATGATTTATTCAGTTTGATATGGTGCAACAACAAAATTAGACTTCAGCATTAAAAAATTTCCATCATCAAAGGGTCGTAGCAATGAAATTTCTTCTATCACCAAAGGCTACTTTTAGTGATGGAAGTGGTGTTTCCAGTCAAGGTTATGTTTTAGCAACATGAAACATATTCTACAGCTATATCTTGATGAAGTGGGAAGAAAAATAGCCATCCCGGTACTTTCTGTGGCTATAAACTTGCTCCCTGAAATAGTAATCATCTAGTCAGTATTATGTGCATGCAAAGCAAGGAACTACCTTCAGAGCAGCTTTCTTGAACTGGTTCATTGCTCTAAAATGCTTAAGCCTGTTGAAAACAGCACTGTCAAGTGGTGTATCAGGTGCTTCTCCATCTTCTTTGATCCAAGGATGGTCTGCAATGCAACATTCACATAGTCAAAAGATTCATACCTTCAAACAAATATGAACTATTATAATACATTAAAAAGGAAGACGTTGTGCCCCTTCTAGCCCATCATTACCGTCACATTGGGAGAATCTCATCTAATTAGGATATAGAATCAAAAGGAAAATGTCCAACTGAAAATGAATATGTTTCAAAAGTCAGATTTTTCAGGCAACTAAGATGTTCACTATTTGCACAGGGAAGATGCTAATAAGGCATTGTAAATCACAAGTTACATGATAAATAACTTTGACGAGGTAAAAGGTTTACCCTCAAGAATAAAAGAGGTAAAAACCAAAAAATAAGCAGAGTATGCTTGGGTACTTTTATAACATGCAAACCTAACACAGAATGCATAAAGATTTAAGTGAAATAACCTTTTAAGTCAAAACTTCAGTGTTGTTGGAAACAACATAATATTGTTCTATAATTATGGTTGCAAAGTGACACACTTCACATGCCACAACTGACATATGTCAATAACAAGTGGGAAGAAAAAATAATTTGTATTTTCAAATTTCAATGATCATGCCTTAAGCTTCATGTAAAACCAATAATTTAGAAAAGCAATGTTTCGATATAAATAAAGAAGTTATATTACTAAGAACTTGGAATGCTGTTAGCCTCTCTGTGGGATCCAAATTTAGCATCTTTCTCACTAGATCCTTGGCACCAGGTGAGATATTGGGCCATGGATCACTTGTGAAATCAATCTGTCCTCGTAGAATAGCTTCAAAGATCCCATGTTCTGATTCTGTAAGAATGAAAACTGTGAGAGATATTATCCTTTTGCATAACGTTTCATAAGATGAACAAAGTAATATTACCAGCCCAAAAGGGGGGCCCGCCACATAGAAGAATATACAGCATAACCCCAGTGCTCCAAATGTCTGCTTCTGGTCCATATTTCTTTTTGAGGACTTCAGGTGCAATGTAATATGCGCTGCCAACAATATCTTTGAACACTTCACCTGTTCGTGAGAGAGACTTTCAGATGCAAATATATGATTCCGCAATTAGGACAAGCTTAAATAACAACATAAGCAAAATACTGAAGTTGTAGCCTTCAGATGAAGAAATACTGTTACAGAGATCAGACAAGCGTCTTGCAGAGTATAATTCTAAAGATACTTGAGAACCATTATAAGCAACACCCAGCATACATCTTTTCTGCTTATAATATGAATGCCTCAACTTTGTAGGACTTTGTTGACCTAAAGTTATTACCTAGCATAGATATTAGTGCCTTCAAAAGGTCATCACTAAAATTTAAAAAAAATTGGGGGCTTATTTTGCTTAGTTATTCAGGTCAACAGCATAAGCAGCATATGGTGATTAATCTTTTTCTAACAAAGAAACACATGGTATGATAATTTGGAGTTTACAGAAAACAGCATTGCAGAATTTATTGAAAAGATTCCAATATCAGGATAAGTCACTCATCTTTACTTGAGGAAGGAACTGATGCTACATGCATGCACGACTTTTGCCCATCTGAATTCCTACAGCATACCAGTAAATGTGACTGCCTAGAAGAGCCAGATCAACCGATGCATAATAAGTCGTTACTGCAATGAATTATAGATATTGCAGACGAGAATGCCAATGATTGTATGCAATCTTGCCAGAATGCAACTCACTGTTCATGCAGTTGTTCAGGCTTGGACACTTTGTTTTAGGAAATCAGGAAATTTGGGATTGCAATTGTTAAGGTTTCTCTTAACAGTGATTGAAGTATGTGAAATGGATCCAACTCAAAGCAAGGGAAGCAAGTAGTTTCTAACATAGAAGTCAATACACATTTGCTTGTAGGCCCGAGTATTAGAATGGTAAGTTTTCGGAGTTCAAGCTAGACTGATTTATGATCGACTGTCAGGTCGCTTGTGGAGAATCTTTAAAAAGCTAGATTTAATTGTGACGGTCTCAGAAGAATTGTTGCAAACAATTGGAAGGCAAGAGCATTAGGTATACAGCATAAGAAAATTAGAAACAATTTTTTTTGCTTCTAAATTTAAATGAGTTGAATGGATGTTTTGAGAAAAAGCAAGGCATCCCTGGCCCTGTGTTTTTTCGGTTCATTACTTGATATTTAGTTTCCTCTATGATTAACCATGGATATTGTGATCTTTGATGGCGTTGCAGCGGATGTCTAGAGAAAAAATAGGATAAAATGAGAGAAAAGAGAGGAAAAGAGATATGCATGAGAAACACCACCGAACCTTCCTTGAAGAAGACGGAGAGTCCAAAGTCCGTAGCCTTGAGCGGCGCATCCTCGTCCTCGTTCAACAACAGAAAGTTCTCTGGCTTGAGGTCTCTATGAATCACCCCCAGGGAATGGCACGTGTGGACTACCTGCACGATCGTCCGCAGCAGCGCCGCGGCCGCCCGCTCCGTGTAGTGTCCCCTCGTGATGATCCGATCAAATAGCTCCCCTCCGGCGCACAGCTCCATGACGAGGTGCACCGAGTGCTTGTCCTCGTAAGCCCCCTTCAGATCGACGATGTTGGGCTGTCCCGACAGGTGGTACATGATCTGCACCTCCCTCCTCACGTCCTCGATGTCCTCCTTGGTCCGGAGCTTCCGCTTGGCGATGGTCTTGCAGGCAAGCTCCTCACCGGTGGCCTTGTGGGTGCAGCGGTGCGTCACGCCGAACTGGCCCCGCCCGAGCTCCTTCCCGATGGTGTACATGGTCCGGATGTCTTCCATGGGGCGACCGAGCACCGGGCCGATGGGGCCGGTCTTGGCGGGCGGAGGGGAGGGGGAGACAGGGACGACGGAGGCAGGGTTGGAGGCGCCATCGGTGGTGGAAGGGCTGGGATCGTTGGAAGTGCTGGGAGTTTCTTCCTTGTTGAAGCAATTGCCCATGGCGGGATGGAGGTGGGTCGGAAGGGAGGGGAGAGGAGGGCACGGGGACGGAGCGGGAGGGGCGGAAAGAAGGCGGTTTGCGTGCGTGAAGATTATGAGGAGGGGGTAAAGGGATGGATGACAAGGGAAGGTGAGGAGAGATTGGCGGGAATTGATTGTTCTGTTGTGTCTATTTATAGGGATTCCTTTTGTTCGATTCGAAAGGATTTAATTAATTGCTTGCTGTTAAAGGTTAAGAATGTTGGGGTTTGACTAACTGTTGACTTTATAGCACTAATAACTTCGTATAAACTGGGCTTTACAGCACTAATCATTCGGGTTGGTTCCAAAAATATTGCATAGAGACATTAATTAAGTAGGGAAACTCTTCAACCAAAAAATTAACAAGTAGAAAATAATGGAGGTGCGGGGAATCGAACCCCGTGCCTCTCGCATGCGAAGCGAGCGCTCTACCATATGAGCTACACCCCCGTGATGACAATTGATCGAAAAAATATATATATATAGTTTAAAGGAAGTTTAAAGGCAGTTTAAGGGAACGTAAAAAGTTAAGTGGAGGTGCGGGGAATCGAACCCCGTGCCTCTCGCATGCGAAGCGAGCGCTCTACCATATGAGCTACACCCCCAACGTGAAGTGTTATTGATTCTGTTTTAAGTAAATATTAGTTAACCAGATTTAGTTATTTTATATCAGTTAGTAATTAAAATGAAGAGATTGATAAATACATTATTTATATAAATTAAACGATTAAAATTGAGAAAGACAATGTGATGATGGACTACATTTTAGATTAATAAAAAAAGTTAAAAAATAAAATTATTAGACAAGGATATTTTATGAATAATAAATATGTAAAAGATTTATATAGTTGAGATACAAATATTAAGATGAAGACAAGTTATATCTAAATATTATAAATAGATACATATATTTTAAAATTTAACTAAATATATTACTTTTTACAATTCTATCACAAGGAATACATATAGTCAATCTAAAATGATTAAGCCAATATAAATATATAAATGATATGAGATTACTACAAAACTAATAGTTTCAATTTCATAAGGTCATTTAGTCCTACATTGATTGAGTATGAGAATCAATGGCTCAAAAGTCTGTCAGGTCTCATTTACCCTTAGTGGCTCTTTTTAGAGTTCACATACTCGAAAAGGGTAAAACCATATAGGTACACCCATCGGCCAAAGTGGATAATTCCTCACGAGCCTATGGGCCACACCAATGACCAACCAACCATTTGATAAGACCATTTAGTCTTACATTGATTGAGGAGTATGAGGTATCCTTTTTAGAGCTCACATGCTCCGAAAGGACACCAAATGGTCCCTTATCACAACTCCACCCACAAGATTATGTAATAATAATAAAACATGATGTGGCTCTTTTTAGAGCTCACATGGCTCTTTTTAGAGCTCACATGTTCGGAAAGGGTAAAACAGTATAAATACGCCCATCGCCCAAAGCGTGAGCCTATGGGCCGCACCAATGACCGACCAACCATTTGATAACACATGCTTCGAAAGGGCACCAAATGGTCCCTTATCAGAACTCCACCTACAAGATTATGTAATAATAATAAAACATGATGTGGCTCTTTTTAGAGCTCACATGCTCCGAAAAGACTCATATGTCTGTCAGGTCTTCTTTACCCTTAGTGACTCTTTTTAGAGCTCACATGCTTGGAAAGGGTAAAACCGTATAGGTACGCCCATCGCCCAAAGCGCGAGCCTATGGGCCGCACCGATGACCGGCCAACCATTTGAAAACACATATTCCAAAAGGGCACCAAATGGTCCCTTATCACAACTTCACCCACAAGATTATGTAATAATAATAAAACATGATGAGGCTCTTTTTAGAGCTCACATGGTTCTTTTTAGAGCTCACATGTTCCGAAAGGGCTAGTCCGTCATATCTTCTTTACCCTTAGTGGCTCTTTTAGAACTCACATGCTCGGAAAGGGTAAAACTGTATAGGTGCGCCCATTGCCCAAAGTGCGAGCCTACGGGCCGCACCAATGACCGGTCAACCATTTGATAAGACCATTTAGTCCTATATTAATTGAGGAGTATGAGGTCTCCTTTTTAGAGCTCACATACTCTGAAAGGGCACCAAATGGTCCCTTATCATAACTCCACCCACAAGATTATGTAATAATAATAAAACATAATGTGACTCTTTTTAGAGCTCAAATGCTCCGAAAGGGTTCATAAGTCCGTCAGGTCTCCTTTACTCTTAGTGGCTCTTTTTAGAGCTCAAATGTTCCGAAAGGGCTCATAAGTCTGTCATGTCTCCTTTACTCTTAGTAGCTCTTTTTAGAGCTCATATGCTCGGAAAGGGTAAAACCGTATACACCCATCGCCCAAAGTGGATAATTCCTCGTGTGCATATGAGCCGCACCAATGACCGACCAACTAAATGGTCCCTTATCAGATTGACGTTAAAATGAGGGCCCTCGGCTTACACCTCAGCCGAGCTATGGGAGAGAGTACTAATAAGACCATTTAGTCCTATGTTGATTGAAGAGTATGAAGTCTCCGTTTTAGAACTCATATGCTCCGAAAGAGCATCAAATGGTCCCTTATCACAACTCCACCAATAAGACTATGTAATAATAATAAAACATGATGTTCATCTTATTCATGAAATTATTTTATTCATGCACTTAATATCTTTATTATTTGTGCTGTTGTATATAATGGAGTTTTTGACGAACCGTTAGTGGAAATGAGAATAGGGTTCGTTTCGATGATGATAGTGTAAAATCCGTTCAAGATGGTGGGGCCTTTACTTGGATGCCAGGAAAGGGGAGAGCGAGATAGATCAAAACTGAAACCTCCTTATAGGCTCTTTTCAGAGCTTACATGCTCTAAAAGGGCAAAATCATACAGCCAATCGTCTAAAACGGATAATTCCTCATGAGTCTACGAGTCGCACCCATGATCGATCAATCAAATCGATTGGGTTATGGGAGGGAGCACTCATAAAATTATTTAATCCTATATTAATTGAGAAGTACATGATCTTTTTTTAAGTTGAAAGGGTATCAAACGCTCTCTTATCACAACTCCACCCACATGATTGTATAATAATAATAAAACATAATGTTCATCTTATTCATGAAATTATTTTATTCATGCACTTTATAACTTTATTATTTGTGCTGTTGTAGATAACGGAGTTTTTGACGAACCGTTAGCGGAACGGAGAATAGGGTTCGTTTCGTGTCAGATGACGGTAGCGTAAAGTCCGTTCAAGACGGTGGGGCCTTTACTTGGACGCCGGGGAAGGGGAGAGCGAGGTAGACCCAAACCGAAACCTCCTCCGAACTCGAGGGCAGAAGCGCTCGAGGCCTTTCCCTCTTCTCTCTCCATCTTGATATCGATCGCTTCTTCGTCCCACCAAGAGATCTCTCCATCTCGATCTCTGTTGAGGTCGATCGTTGCTGGGTGGAGGAGCCATGGCGGAGCAGCTCACCGACGAGCAGATCTCCGAGTTCAAGGAGGCCTTCAGCTTGTTCGACAAAGATGGCGATGGTCAGACCCATTTTTCGATCCCTTGATTCGTTTCAATCATTTTCTTTATCGATTCGAGAGTTCTTGGGATCGAATCTTGCTTGCCGATCCAGGGTTTTGTCTGTCGAAATCTTCGTTTTTGATTGATGATTTTCTTTTCTCTTTTTCTGGTATCTTGAGATGTGGATCCTTGAAGCTTTTGTTGTGTTTTGGATTGCTCGATCGGTTCGCTTTGATCTTTTGTGTTGTGATCCGTGTTTCAGAATGTCTTATATGGGTATCTTTCCTGTCGTAGATAGACATGGCTAGGTTGTTTAAGATGCAATCGAGTTAAACCTTAGAGGACCTTCCTCTCCTTTTGATTGAACATTTTGTATAATTTGGTATATTTCAGCTATAGTTACGCTAGGTGTTCATGCATTAATTCCTGATCGATTTCGATCTCATCAAGATCAGGTTTCGTGGGTGACCGCTCTCTTCTTGTTGTGTGGTGGACTATGTTGATGGATTTGTCTTTGCATTCGCTGTCACAGTACATATCTAATGGGCACTATTAACTTTTTAATAAACGATAGGATCCATGTGGCTGTTTGATCTCCTCTTGCATCTTTGTTTAATTTGGCGTAAACCGTAGTAGTATAATAGGGAAAATATGAAGTGTGGACGATTGACATGGCCGTCCGGATAAACTCGTCCACTCGTCATATGGTTGGCATTTGGTGCCATTTGTTCAGATGAGTGACTGATACGCTTGACTTTACGTTTTTCACATGTCAATGATGTGAAATTACTTTTTGTCCGGAACATATACTTGGCCATATTGTGGGAGGCATGCGTTGTCACTCTTTTGGATTATTGGATATATGTCAAAGAGGGTCTATTCACAGAATATGATAAGGGTTCAATAGTTATTAGACTTCATGCCCGGACCAAATAATTTACCATTATTTTTATGTGCAAACTGTTTAGAGGAATACATGTGTCTCATGTTGCATATGTTGAATTTATTTATACTTACAGCACCACACCTAACCTTTGCATTTCACTAATTCACCCATTTACAACACAATTCGACATTACATTTTAGTTATTTATCCCTTCGGTTCTTACAGCAATTAAAAGCTTATAACCCTCTTCATACAACATAGGAATTCATTTAGAACCCTCACAAGTGCAAGTGCAGCCTAACCTTATTAGATTAAGAGATTAGATTGGTTATTCAGAGATTGGCAAAAGATAAGTGTTCCACTCTACTGGGTTTTGCAGAAGTTGGCAGAAGAGATCATCATGCAGAGTTGTCAATGATAAGAGCTTTTGTAGCAGTAGAAATAATAGAGTCAGTGGTGTCTGGTATATTACATGTGTATCATGCCTAGCTATGCAGGTTAGCATGTGCGCATTATGACCCAGCACGCAATGACGTGCGCATATCATGCTAGTTATCTTCCATGCCAGACCAACAGATGATCAATCAGTTTCTCAACAAATCCTGATAAAATGACTAGTAGACACTGGTTTCTTGGTGGAAGTAGTGATTTCTGTTTTTTCTATGATGCTTGTAACTTTCAACATGTTTTTTCTCTTTTA